TTCTCCTTACACTGAGCAGACAGGGGGTTTTGCTGAGCGTCGTGAGCCCGCGTCGCGTCCTGTCTCGCCTGTCCGTTCTCGTAGTTCCGGTCGTCGTGTTCCTCGTTCGCGTCAGCCGGCTGTCCCCGGCACTCACCTCGTAGTTCGTTGTCCTTCCTCTCCTCCGCAGCGTGTTCCCCTGCCGTCCCCTCCTGCGTCTTCTCTGCCTACCGTTCCTGAGCCTGAGTCTGACCGCACCCGTGCTGCTCACTCTACTGTCACGCGTCTGCTAGCCACAGTTGTCACTAACCCGTCGTTTGAGTCTGCTGCTGCGTCTGCCTTTGTTGCTGAGCTTGTTGACTTTGCTGCTGCCTGTCGTCTAGACTACGCCGCTAGTCTTGTTGCTGAGTCTGAGTCTGTCTGTCCTCCGTCCGTCGGGGGTGAGTGTGCTCTTGGCACGGCCGTCCTTGAGGATAGGCAGGAGGACCTTGAGTGTCTTGCAGCCGCTGCGCCTCATCTCGTGTCCATGCTGCTTGCCCCTGAGGGAGACCTGGATGCTCCAGACATCCCGACCCCGCGCTCTTACGCTGAGGCGATCGCGGGTGAGTACTCCTCTCAGTGGCAAACAGCCATGGACGCAGAGATGGCATCCTGGAAGTCCACAGGCACCTACGTCGATGAGGTTCCCCCTCCTGGGGCGAACATCGTCAGTGGCATGTGGATTTTCAGGGTGAAGCGGCCGCCAGGTTCTCCGCCTGTCTTCAAGGCTCGTTACGTTGCTCGAGGTTTCAGTCAGCGAGAGGGAGTAGACTTCTTCCAGACCTTCTCCCCCACCCCGAAGATGACCACTCTTCGGGTGCTACTGCACGTTGCCTCTCAACGTGACTACGAGCTTCACTCTCTTGACTTCAGCACAGCTTTCTTACAGGGCAGCCTGCACGAGGAGATCTGGCTGCGCCGTCCTCCTGGCTTCACTGGGTCGTTCCCTCCTGGTACCCAGTGGAGCCTCCGGCGGCCAGTCTACGGTCTCCGTCAGGCGCCGCATGAGTGGCACGACACACTGAGGACGACACTTGCGGCTCTTGGGTTTGCTCCGTCGACTGCTGACCCGTCGCTGTTTCTACGCACCGACACTTCGCTGCCGCCGTTCTACATCCTCGTGTACGTCGACGACTTGGTCTTTGCCACTGCTGACACTGAGGCTCTCGCCTTGGTGAAGTCGGAGCTGCAGAAGAGACACACGTGCACAGACTTAGGTGAGCTGCGCAGCTGTCTTGGCTTGCAGATCGCCCAGGACAGAGCACGCCGCACCATCACACTGACTCAGTCACACATGGTGCAGCAGGTCCTTCAGCGCTTCGGCTTCACCTGGTCCTCAGCACAGGCCACTCCTCTGGCTACAGGTCACTCGCTCTCAGCTCCACCTTCGGACGAGTCCGTAGAGCCGAGTGGTCCTTACCCAGAGCTAGTGGGCTGCCTCATGTACGTGATGACCTGCACTCGTCCTGACCTTGCGTACCCTCTTGGCCTTCTGGCTCGCTACGTGGCTCCTGGTCGGCACCGAAAGGTGCACATGGATGCTGCTAAGAGGGTACTGCGCTACTTGTGCAGTACATCAGGCATGGGGCTCGTGCTTGGAGGGAGGAGCTCAGTTGTTCTCACTGGGCACTCAGACGCTTCTTGGGTTGACGACCAGGCTACTCAGCGGTCGTCACAGGGTTACACCTTCAGCCTTGGCTCTGGTTCAGTTTCGTGGCGTTCTACACGCTCGTCTTCAGTTCTCAGCTCCAGTTGTGAGGCTGAGATCTACGCCACAGCCATGGCTGCACAGGAGTTACGCTGGCTCACCTACCTGCTGACTGACTTGGGAGAGCGGCCTCGTTCTCCTCCAGTGCTGTACATCGACAACAAGGCTACCATTGCCTTGTGTGAGGAGCACAGACTGGAGCACAGAACGAAGCACATCGCTCTGCGTTACTTCCTGGCTCGAGAGTTGCAGCAGCGTGGTCAGCTTCGTCTGCGTTACGTGGCCACTCGGGCCAACACTGCTGATATATTCACCAAGGCACTTCAGGCTGGTGATCATCAGCGTTTCTGCACTATGCTAGGGCTTGTGCCCACTTTTCCTCACTTGCTGTAGGCCTTGCTTGTACTGTGATCTATATATATATACCTGCATGCTTGCATTGCTAGGTAGAGTTCACTGTGATGTTTGTGTGGCATATATGCCTCTGCATGTGAACTAGCCTTGTGGCCCTTTGCTTGTGCTCAGTGTGTGTGGTGACGTTGTGATCTCCTGCTCTCCCCCACTTTGCCTATGGGGGTGTGTCAAACATATATATATATATATATATGTTAGTGTTATTGCTAGGCTGTAGTGGGGTAGATAGTGTGGGGTATAACCCCTTAGGATTTTCCTCTTGTACCAACTCTCTCGATACTCGAATTCACCCTTGCCTAAGTATCGACAGAGTACACGTGGGTGGAGAAAGAGCAAGCTGCCTTCTCGGCCCTCAAAAATATTTTGTGCTCACCGCCCGTACTTAGCATCGCAGATCCGCACCGTCCGTTCGAGCTCGTCACCGACGCTAGCGACATCGCTGTGGGAGCAGTACTGTTGCAGGACTTCGGGAACGGCCTTCAGCCAATCGCGTATGAGTCCCGCAAGCTTCACCCGCCCGAACGCAACTATCCGATACACGACCGCAAAATGCTGGCGATCGTGCCTGCGTTCAAGGTGTGGCGATATTACCTCACGGGTGCAGACGTGACAGTACGGACAGACCACCGATCCCTACAGTACCTTCGCGCCCAACCGAATCTCAACCCACGACAGATCCGCTGGTTGGACTATCTGGAGTCCAACTTCCACTACACAATCACGTACAAAAAAGGCGCATCCAACATCGCCGACGCACTCACACGCCCCACCGCCCAACTCCACGCTATCCTACTCGCCCAAACCAACCCATTGTTAACAGGCCTATTCACCCACGGATACAGTACCGACCCATTTTTCACGACCGGAAATTCACAGCAACTGGCAGAGGCCAGAGGAGTCTATCACGTAAAAACAGGCACCAACCGCATCTGGGTACACGCGTACTCACTACTGAGGGAACTGTTACTGCAGGAGGCACACGACGGGATTACCTCGGGACATTTCGGGGTAGAAAAAACGCGACAGCAACTGCAGCGGTATTACTACTGGCCGGAGCTGTTGACCGACGTACAGCACCACGTGGGCTCGTGTCCTACGTGTCAGGTGATGAAGAGCTCGCGAAAAAGAAAGGCGGGTCCGTTGCAGCCGATTCCACCGCCTGAGCGTGCCTGGCAGCAGGTTACCATGGATTTCGTCATAGGGTTACCTTCTAACCTTGGGGGTAACGACGCAGTTATGGTCGTCGTTGACAGGTTGACGAAGATGGCACACTTCGCTGCGTGCAAGAAATCGATCGAAGAAACCGCTCGCCTGTTCATCGCAGCCGTCGTTAGACTGCACGGGACACCAGCCGCGATAATCAGCGACCACGACACGAAGTTCACCAGCAACTTCTGGAAGAACCTCTGGGAGCAGTTCGGGACAAGGCTACAGTTCAGCTCGTCGTACCACCCCGAGACCGACGGTCAAACGGAGCGGACGAATCAGACGATGGAGCAGTTGATTCGTGCCACGTGCGACGACCCAACCACTTGGGAGCAGCAGCTGCCGCTGATCGAGTTCGCGTATAACAACGCCACGTCAGCGACGACGTAGCAGTCCCCCTTCTACCTGAACTACGGGCAAAACCCTACAGTGCCCATGACGCCGAGTCCGGACAACCCAACGCCACGTGCACAGCAATTCGCCGAAATTCTGCAAGCTGCCCGCACCAGAGCCACTGAAGCAATTAAAAAAGCCAACGTCATCGCTAAGCGCAACGCTGACCGCCACCGCCGCCCAGTCACTTACCAGTCAGGAGATTACGTACTGCTCGACACGCAAAACTTAAGACTGCCCGTTGTACCGAAATTACGACCCCGCTACTGTGGACCATTCCAAATCAGCCACATGATTACCCCAGTGACAGCTCACCTACCGTTGCCGACGGACTGGTACGTCAGCCCTTCGTTCCACGTCATTCTGCTTCGCCCATACATCCCAACCACAAGCCAACTGCCTCGTCACCGCCCGCCATCCATGACTCGCCCTGCATCGGAGCCGATCATCGAGCCCGAAAAAATCCTGAGCCATCGGATTCGACACCCCACAGGAATCAGGAGGATTGAATTCCTCGTTCGCTGGAAGGACCGCACGCCAACTGAAGATAGCTTGGTGCCCCTGGCCAACATCGAAAACCACCCTGCCCTGCAAGTGTACCTGAGGAGCCGGGGTTCCCGCGATATATCCGCACTCGCGTAGCGGAGGGGCCTTCTTGAGGGGGGGGGTAGTGTAAGGAATTTTCTCGGTATTCCTTAGCGCGCCCTGCAACATCGCGTACAACAGCAGCCGTTGTTCGCCCGTTACTGCTAACGGGGCTTCGCCGACTTAGCGCGCACTGTTGCACCAAACCTCGCACTGCTGGCCTGGCCGTATCGGCCTACGCTTCGGGACTAGCCCGAACCTCGCTTCCAGCATAGCACTAGCTAGCTCGCACGCACCGCGTTACCGTTTGCATGTTTCGCGTATAAATGTTCGCTCATGCCTTCGCTCACATGTTGTACCCGTTTGACACCTTAGTGCAATTCTCGCTACTTCGATTCATTGCACCCGTAACACCCTGCTACTTTTAGACAACAATTACTACAAATTCAGCACGAAATCAAAAGGACAAACTCTGGCGTTTCTTAGGGGGCCCTTTCTTCATCATGATGCCCACTAATTCAGCCAAATAGCCGTCTTCTGTCCACCAGTCAGGCTCCTTTCCTGGAAGCACCTCTTGAGAACACAATGTGAAGTTTGCACGCAGGAGTCCCTGCATGACAAAGACATGGGAGACATGGGATTTGGGAGGGGCAAGAACAAAAAGAGGACAATAAATTTAGGAGACAAGTGTAGCAGCAGAGGGAAGCAGGGCTGTGGGTGGTTGAGTCAACTCAAGAAAGGTGTGGCAGGGGTAGCAGGGGAGCAGAGTACGCACCTGAAAGTGGTTGAGGTAGGCCACATCAGGGGTCAAATGCACGCCGCCCTCCAGCGGCTCTATGGGGCGATGCACCTGGAGAGGCACATGGGGGAGGTGGGGAGATAGTGAGGTGATTCAAAGGCACGGGAAGTGAAGGTGAGAGAATCTTGCTAAGATTTATGAATGCTTGCCACCCTCCAGTGGCTCTATGGGGCGATGCACAGGGAGGGCACATGGGGGCGTGGGGATATGCAATGAGAGAAAGGCCCCCGGGGGCATGGGGGGAAGGCATGGGGGGAAGGCATGGGGGGAAAGCATGGGGCGAGGCATGGGGGGAAGGCATGGGGGAAGGCATGGGGGGAAGGCATGGGGGGAGGGCATGGGGGGAAGGCATGGAGGGAAGGCATGGGGGGAAAAGCATGCGTGGGTCCACCAAAAACTTGCGATGACCGTGGAAGTTGAGGCAGTGATTTGGTGAGTACCCCATGTCCTTTTCCCCCTATTCATGCTCCCAGTATCCCATACACCTGAGCTGAAGGACCCTCACTCACTCGCACCAGTCACACCCACCTGCACGGCCCACACTTGTCGTGGGTCAACCAGGAACTTGCGATGGCCGTAGAAGTTGAGGCAGTGGTCTGGCGAGTACCCCATGTCCTTCTCTCCCACGCAGTACACATGCGGCCAGTGAAACCGCATGCGCTGAATCGGGAGCGAGAGCGCGGGAGTGGGCGGCCGGCAATACTCCACAGACCACCACACACTCCCGAACGTGATAAAAGCCGATCCGTTATGCTGCATAAGGAGGTTGTGCAGGGACCCGGCAGCTACGTCCACCGATTTCGGCTTGGCATGCCTTTTCCGTTTTTTTCTCCGCTTGCGACCGGACGGCGTGTACTCGCCCTCTTCGTCTGCTTCTGGCTCGGGCGGCGGGGCGGCCGGCGGGGCGATGTACAGTAGCTCGTCAAAGTCCATGAACAGTACCCAGCGGGCGGCGGAGCGGAGACGGTACATGCAGTCATTTAGGGTTAGCACGTTCTGTTTGTTTTCGAATGCGTATGCACCCCGAATGTCGACTATTTCCATTATGTTGGCATCCACAAAAGGGGATAGGACCTGGGGCAAGTTAGACGTCGGGGGGATGGAATTGGATGGGGGGGGAGGGAGAGCAAGGAGAGGGGTTATAATGGGCACAGAAGGTTTGAAGTGAAAAGATGCAGACATTTAGGGTAGCATGTTCTGCAGGGAGTTTTTGAGAATTCTCAAAAACCCCCTGCAACATTTAGAGTAGCACGTTCTGCTTGTTCTCAAACACGAATGGGCCGCGAATGTCGACGGTTTCCAAATTGTTGGCATCTATGAAGGGAGATAGGGCCTGGGGATGGAAGGAGACTTTTGAGTCGACTCAGTGACTTGACTTTGAGTCGACTCAAAAGGGATGGAAGGAGAAAATAGAGAAGGGAATAGAGAGTGGGTGTTACGGCTGAAGGAAGGAAGGAGGATAACACTAGTTGAACCAGATAAAAAATCCTCAAGGTCATACGTTGAACAAAAAGTAACGGCCTTGATTTAAACAAAAAGCTCAGGGGCCTGCTCAGCCCAAACTTAGTCTTTCAGACGACTGTGAAACTCAATGGTGGGATTTCAAGAGCACCACCTCACATCTCTTATGATCCATAACAGTCTTTTACCGCTCACCTTCATAACAGTGTCCTCAACAGAGCGGAATTTTTAGTCCATTGAAAAAAGCGCTCACCTCAAAAAACGCTCACCTTCATAATAGTGTCATCCACCGAGCCCCCGTCACTGAGCACAAAGTAGTCCACTCTGAGGTAGTGATAGGCCACCTGGGGGGTGTGAGAGGGGGGAGGGTGAGGAAGGAACAAGCAGGGTGAGTGGGGTGAATGGCCGTATGCTCATTTCGTCTCTGAGCACAAAGTAGTCCACCTGATAGTGTTTTGAGATGACTATTGAGTCGAGGTGACTTTTGAGTCGAGGTGACTTTTGAGTCGAGGTGACTTTTGAGTCGAGGTGACTTTTGAGTCGAGGTGACTTTTGAGACGAGGTGACTTTTGAGACGAGGTGACTTTTGAGTCGACTCAAAAGTCACCTCATTTCGTCACTGAGCACAAAGCAGTCCACCTGATAGTGTTTTGATTGAGACGTCTCAAAACCTGATAGTAGACCTGTCAAGAAGGAAGGGGTGGGGGGATGAATTTTAGATAGTGATAGGCCACCTGGGGGGGTTGGGAACGGTTGACCGCAAGAGTTGGGTGGTTTGTGAGTCAAACGGTCTCATCGTGGGGTGATTCGATTCGGGGTCAAACAGGGACCCCCCATCCCGATCCCCCCAGCAAATGGGGGGTCCTTGTTTGATCCCGATCCCCCCAGCAAATGGGGGGTCCTTGTTTGATCCCGATCCCCCCAGCAAATGGGGGGTCCTTGTTTGATCCCGATCCCCCCTCGGATGCAACAGCCCCCCCACCCCAGCGCTGACCACGAATAGTCGGCCTTGAGACAGTGACAGGCCACCTGGGGGGTTTGGGTTAGGGGTTTGGGATAGGGGAGGGGTTAAGATCATGGTACATGGGGAAGGAGCAGAAGCCCACCACGTACTCAAACCCCCGCCCCCTCCCCCTGCCCCGCGCCCCCTCCCCCTGCCCCTCGCCCCCTCCCCCTGCCCCCCGCCCCCTCCCCCTGCCCCCCGCCCCCTCCCCCTGCCCCCTGCCCCCCGCCCCCTCCCCCTGCCCCCTGCCCCCCGCCCCCTCCCCCTGCCCCCTGCCCCCCGCCCCCTCCTCCTGCCCCCTGCCCCCACCCCCTGCCCACGCACTTGCAGCCACACATCTAGTGTGGCAGGGTTAAGATCACAGTACATGGGGAAGGAGCAGAAGGGAGATAGAGCGCACCTGCAGCCACACATGTAGCGTGGAGGGGTTAAGGTCACGGCACATGGGGAAGGAGCACAAGGGCAGCTCGTACTCAAACCGCTGCCCCCTCTTTTGCCACTGTGCGCCTTTTTTCTCGTCTTTCCCCCTTTTAAACTCCCCTGCTCTCCCCTCCTGCCCATGCCCACCCCCCACGCACCTGCGGCCACACTTGCAGAGTGGAGGGGTTGAGATCACGTACATGGGGAAGGAGCAGAAGGGAGGAAGAGAGGGGAGGAGGGAGAGCAGCTAGAAGAGAGAGCAGAACGCACCTGCAGCCACACGTGCAGCGTGGAGGGGTTGAGATCGCGGTACATCGGAAAGGAGCAGAAGGGAGGGAGGAGGGAGGGAGAGCGCACCTGCAGCCACACTTGCAGCGTGGAGGGGTTGAGATCGCGGTACATGGGGAAGGAGCAGAACGCCAGCTCGTACTTAAACCGCTGGCCCCCCTTGCCGCCCCAATGCTGCAAGCCGTAGCCTTGTCTGTTCTGCGCTTGGGTGGCGTTGCTTGGACTGGAGTGTGCAAGAGACGAGTGTGTCTGGGCGGGTGTGCGAGCTGGCATCCCGGTGTGTTTAGAAGTGTGAGCAGTGACATGTGATTGCGAGTGGGAGCGTGTGGGGAGGAGGGACGAGAGCGCTGATGCTGGTGCTGGTGGCTCGCTGTAGATAGCTACATCTGAGCGGTCTGCAGGGGAGGGTGGAGGGGGATGAAGGCAGGAGGTCACGAGGAAAAGAGAGAGGGGAAGATGTTGAAGCGTCTCACAAGGAGAGCAGCAGATGCTGGTGAAGGAAGAAGGGGGGAGGGCTGGGGGAGGAAGGGAAAGAGACAGGTTGAGGTAGTTGTATTATTGCAGGGTAGCCATGCATTACAAGGTAGCCATTCCATTTTCAATTATTGCAGGGTAGCCATGCAAGACAGGGAATAATACGTAGCATTTGGAAGAATGGAACAAGACATAGCGTTTGAATTGAAAATGGAATGGAGTAGGACGTGGAGTTGCATATGAAAAACGCATAACAGTGCAGCGCACAAGTTTTGGCATTTCATTTTCCAGTATAGGCTACATACAAAAAAAAAAAAAAAAAAAAAAAAAAAAACCAGCATACATCACACTCCATGGAGATCATCGATAACTCTCACACACCAAGTTGAATCATGACAGTTCCGCCGCCATTCCCTGTGCTTTCCACCGCAAGTTTGCAGTGGTACACTGCCGTCTCATACATCAATAAATGGTGCTCTCCAGGGTAAATTCCCCTCAGCCTGCCCGTCAAATGCCGCCCGTCCCGCCCAACCCAGTAGCAGTGGCCCAGCTGTCGTGGACCAATGGGAATGCAGGGAAACGTGGGGGAAAGAGGGGAAAGGAAGGGGCGAGAAGAGACGGCAGGAACGATATGGAGTCAGTCAGTCCGCTCTCACTCACCCACTGTCCACTCTCGCTCAACCCACTTCCTCCACCCTCATTTTTCCCCTGACACACCACGCAACCCCTCATCTGCAATCTCCCTCATCATTTGCAGGCTCATTCCGATCACTGCAAACGCTTTGACTGACAGTTGCAAGGTGGTTACCCCATCAACCTCTCAACTACAGCAACAGCGCATTCTCATCGCTGCAAGCTCATTGGCCGGCAGCCAATTCCCTGTTCATTCATGCTGGCAGCCAATGAGTTCGCAGCGATGAGAATGATGAGTGGCTGTGGCTGTCTGTTGCAATAATCACTCACTCCTCATTCCCTTCCCTCTCACTCACCCCATCATCTGCAATCTCCCTCATCACTCGCAGACTCATCCCGATCGCTGCAAATTCATTGGCCGACAGCCGGTACCCGCTGCGCTGGACGAATCGCGGCTGCCCGAGCGCCGCGAGCGCGCCAGGTGGCGCCTCCTGATAGGCCCGCTGCAGCAGCGAGTGACGTGTCAAGCAGGGGTTGGTGATGGAGTTGTTGTGGTCGATGTTGGCCCCCTCCACGTCAGCATCTGTTGAAGGAGGGGATTCAAGGTGACAGAGAAGGGGAAATAAGAAATGTCAGATTGATTAGTCCACACATTGCCTAGATACATTCAAACGTGAAATTAAAAATGTGTTGAGACGTCTCAACTTTTAAAGCGACGGTGCACATTTGCCACCCAAAACCCAGAACCCTGGCGAACTGTTACTGCGGATGGAAAGTGTCCGCACGAAATCCTGGTTTTCGCCAGCCAGCACTTTCGCGCTGGCAAGCCTGGTTCAAAAAAAAAACTTCTGAACCCAACACTGCCAAAAGTTGCCCGTCGCTTTAAGGCGATCTTTGAGGTGCCTCAAAAGTAATTCAAACGTGAAATTAGAAATGTCTTGAGACGTCTCAACACATTAGTCCGCACAGTGCCTAGATCCATTCAAAAGTCACTACATGTTTTCCTTTCCCCTTACCCTCCTCTCCTCCCCCACCACCGCTTCTGCTACCCCTCCCCCATTCCCCCACCTTTACCTGTGCGCAATCTAGTCCGACCTGTGCCAAAATCCATCTTAAGTCCCTTCGCTACGGCCCGTTTTCCCCCTTCCCCTTTCCCCTTCCTCTTCCCCTTCCCCTCCCCTTCCCGTTCCCCCCCTCCCGATTTACCTGTCCTTAGTCTAGTCCGCGCTGTACTAAGGTCCATCTTGAAGCCCTTCGCCACGGCCCCCGCAATCACCGCCGACTCAACCTCGCTGCTCCACCTCACTCCCCGCAAATCCCCCCGCGCGCCCGCGCCTACGCCCGCGCCTGCGCCCGCGCCTGCGCCCCAAGAGCCCCTCGCGCGCTCCTCCTCCGCGCCTCCCCACACCTCCGCTTCGACCGTTCGCCAGTTCCCCGGACTGCGCCCGCTCGTTATAAGCAAGAACACAACAGCGGGGATGAAGATTAGTAACAGCAGGCGCGACGTAGAACACCATTGCCGAGTCGCGCGACCCTTGGACGATACTAACTTCGGCGGCGCCACCATGGGACCGCCATTCGCGCCTCGGCCGTACCCCGCGCCGCGGCGATACGGCGGCTCGTCCGACATGTAACCGTGAAACGACCCGTCCGATCCGTACCCATCTTCCCCACCGCGCGCCGCGCGGGCGTACGGCGGAGGGCCCGGGCCAGCGGAAGGTGGGTAACTAGGCCCGTAAAACCCGGCTCCGGCGGGGGGAGGGCCGTTGGCATAGGGCGGGAAAGGAGGCGGTCCGTGGGAGTATGGCGGGCCTTGCGGATACGGCGGGCCTTGGGGGTACGGCGGGCCTTGGGGGTACGGCGGGCCTTGCGGATAAGGCGGGCCTTGCGGGTAAGGGGGATTAGGGTACGGTGGCTGGCCCGTGTGGTGCGGAGGAGGGTGCTGACGTGGCAGTGAGTGTTGGTGAAGAGACGGGTGCTGAGAAAGGTCTGGCTGGGAAAGGGGGCGCGACGGCGGGTTGCTCGGGCGGGACTGCCGCGCGGCAGCGCTGCTGTTGCTGCCGCCCGTGCTGCTGCTGATGCTCGTTTTGCGCTTTGGCGGCGACATGACCGTTGAACAACCACAGCTCGAAGTGGGGTGTAGTCGCGACGTTGTATAAAATGAGATATAATGTTATTGACCATCAAGCGACATGTTGATGTAGTATAATGGTCAGTATCTCCGCCTGTCACGCGGAAGATCCGGGTTCGATCCCCGGCATCGGCGTCTTGGTTTCTGGCTGTGTCCCTTTGTTGCCCAAGCCACCCGCGAGTACTCACCACCACTTTCCCCTGCATTTGCTGGCTGGATCTTTTGTTTTCCATGTTCATCCTAACCCCTGCATCAAGTAGACTCTTCCCATAGTTTTTACACTGAGAGCCATGCAACCATGCACTGACAGCCATACGACCATGCACTGACAGCCATGAAACCATGCACCGGCAACCGTGCACCCATGCACCTATACACTGACAACCTGATGGGCCGGACCATGGCAATGCCAGGAAGTGAGTAGTTGCTGGTAAATGGTAATGCATGCTCCCTACGCTCTAGGCATCCTCCTACAAATACCATGACCATGTACAATGCGCACAGTGCACACGTTATTGCTGTACCTTCTGTATTGAGCAGCTTGTATTATGAATAATGATTCAGATCATAGCATAAGATATGCCAGTACAACTCTACATGTAGCTAGTTGCTACATTCCCTAGGTTATCTGCTACAACTAATGATGCCTTCAGGCATCCTGAGAAGCCCATCCCTGACCACCAGGGCTGAGCAGCCAGATGGTAGGAACACCACACCCTTCTAAAGCCACAGAGAATGTATATCTCTCCAACGCCAGCACCAGCAGCAGCACCAGCAGCAGCACCAGCAGCACCACCAGTGGCTCACAGCTGGATACTAATCTGCGCCACGCCTTGTGCATTTGGCACGTGGAAAGTTTTTTCGACGGTCTGCCCGTTGACCTGGAAGCGGGCGCGGTAGGTGCCGTGGAAGCCCTTGAACGCGAGCGGCTGCCCGGGGGAGATCTTGGCGTTGAGGTGTGTGCTCCATTCCTTGCGCAGACGCACATACCTGCGTGAGTGAGAAAAGAGGTAATTGGAGGAAGAGGAATGAGAGGAGATTGGAATGTATGCTGAGGCGGCCCGGAACTTGCCTTGGTGATCAGCGAGATACGAGGGAGAAGGAAGACGGGTGAGGAGAGGAGGAGAGGAGGAGTGTGCGTGCCGGAACAAGAATGCAGGAGATCAGAGAGTCTTAGAGCTCCTGGTTCTCACCTCTTCCCCAGCTCGTTATCGACGTAGTTAAAGTCCGAGAAGCACGCCTCGCACGGCTTGCACATGCCGGGATCCACGTCCTTGTACTTGTCGCACGAGGCGCGCCCCGCGGACCAGTTCACGATGCCGTGCACCGCGGGGTGCGCGAACGCCTCGCGCATGACCGACTCGAAATAGTCCGCGCGGATCGCGTCGTCAGGCACCTTGTTGAAATCGAGCTCCGTCAGCCAGATGGGAATGCCTGCGACGGCCAGCTGGTTCAGATCGTGGCGGAGACGAGCCTGTGGGGAGAAACGTGGTGATAGAGAAGAGCAGACGGGGTATGGTGATTCAAGGACTCTATGTATTGAGTGCACAGGGTAGCGGAGACTGAGTGCTGATTGACTGACTGACGTTCCACTTCGTCATCTCATTCACATTTCAAATTGTTCCCAGTCCAAGAATTTAACTCACCGGCTGGGGTTCCTTGCTGTAGTGCGACTCGACGCCGATCCCGGTCACCGGCGCGCCACGTGTCGTCATCTGCCAAACCTTCGCGAGGTAATACTCGGGATGCGACACGCCGTCGCACTCCTCGACGGTATTATAATCATTAATAAACAGCTGCGCTTTGTTGTCGATCGCTGCAGTAGCCTTGTACATCCACTCGTGCACCTGCGGCCCGAGACGGTCCGCGAAGTAGTTGCCGTGAAGCGGCTCGTTGAGTACGTCCCAGTGCTGCACCTGCCCCTTGTAACGGGTTACCGCATGGTTCAGTCTTCGCTGCATCGCCGCCCACAGATCCTCGTCGTTGAGGTCCTGGAGAGCGGAACCGGGAGGAAAGGCATGGAGAGGGGGAGCCAGCAGGGGAGGAAGTGAGTGTGTGGGGGGGAGAGGGACGGGGACGGGCGGAGGAAGGGGGAGGGGGTTGCGAACTCCAGGAGAAACGGGGAGAGAAGGGGCGGGAAAAAGAGGCGGACGCGGGGAAGCGGAAGGCTTGAGGCGGGTGGAGAGGCGGAAACGGGAGTGGGGGAGAGTGAGCGATGGGTGGAGGGGGGAAGTGGTAGGGGGAAAGGGAAGAGGCAGGGGCCTCATGGACTTGTAAAACGTACAAAGTGTAGCAATGCTCACCTTTACCCACGACTGCACGAAATTCTCGACTGCCCAGAACAGGTTGTGCGCGCGAACGTTGATGTTTCGCGCACGGAACCAGTTGGTCATCGCGTCTGTTACGGTGTAGTTCTCTTCACCCTGCCGATACCCCTCGTTAAAGTACCATTTGCCCTCGTTATTGAACACAGCCCAGTTGAAGCGATCTTTGAACCACTGTAGGGCAAGGGAAAGAAAATAAGACGAAGAGAGGGGGGAGAGGGTGAGTTGTTGTGGTTTTCGCCACTGTTCGAAGGGGAAGGCTAGCATCACGAAGCTCATGCGTTACCCTCTACAAATATCGGCTACCGGTCGGAACGCTTAGATTTTCTGTTTTTGAAAACGAACCGTTTCTTGCCGCGCATATTCCAACATCCCTTATCCGTTCCAATTCGCATACCTTCTGGTAGTTGGTGTCGTAAAGGATCGCGCCGTTCACGTTCCCGCCAAACGGAAAATCCGACTGAATCTGGTTAATCACCACGTCCACAGGCTGCCCGTTATTTCCCGTCACCGTCAACGACACGTCGCGCATGCGATGCTTCTCGATGCTCGCCTTCTGCTGCGCCAGCCATTCGTCCTTATCAACCTTTCGCAACGAAGCCTGCGCGATCCAGATCTCGGTCCCGGGACTCGCGCCCTGGATATAAATACTGGCTTTATCCAGCGGGTCGTGTAGCGTGAATCCGCCCATGAGTTTCGTCCAGCAATTAGACTTTGCGATCGCGCCGCCGATGCAGACATACTGGCCGTTAATGTTAACGTTCGCGTTCACATACTGCCGGTCGCCGGAGTTCAGCCGGACCCAGACGATCATCTCGTACGACGCGGCCGGCAGGTTGGACACGCTTTGCATCGGCCCGGAGTAGGCTTCGGAGCGATTTGTGCAGACACCGTAATTTAAGCGGGTGTCCTTTACCGCGTACACGGACGACCAGCCGAAGCCTTGCCACGGGTTGATGCCTTCAGAAAACTCGCCGTTCTGGAAGAGGTTGTTCGGGAGCACTTGCTTCGACGGGAGAGCGGAGCACTGCGGGACGCAGGGGGGGGGAGGGAGAATCACGAAAGAAGTTGAAGCGTGGATGAGAACCTTCGCTTCCAAAACCGAAAGGCATTGGCAATAAGACTAAAACGTTCTGGCTGAGCAAGAAGACTTTCGTCACTTACGAAGACGACTTCAAAAAGGTTCTCCATGGCCTTCCTTCCTCTGATCTTGTCGCCATCGCCGCCTTCCTTCAGGTAGTCGAGCGACAGTAGCCCGTCAGGTTGCCGGTACTTGGCCCATTCGTGCTCGTACTTCGATGTCGGTAACCCGAGAAAATCCTCTGCGCCAACCAGAACGACCGATGCGAAAGCTAGAAACAATAGCGCAGGGAGCGCCGAAAGCCGAACTGGACCCATCTTTAATACAAAACGGAGAGGTCCGGAGGTGCGAAAGCGGCTGGATCGAGGAGAGGGTGATGCGCTGACAAGAGGATGGAGATCGATGAGGTGCAGTGTAACAGGAGATTCCTCCCCAACTAGCTAGAAAGGGGCTTCGAGCATGTAGACTGATTTGTGGATGGGCAAATGTTGTGAATTTCAATGTGGGAATTGAAGGGGGACAATGCGACATTTGAAATGTGTGGCATTGGCGGCTCGATAATTCTTGACGACGCGACTCGACGAAGGGGTACGGAAACTAACTTGCGAACGTATTCAAGAAAGGGGGCTTCGCGAGAGGTGGTCGGCGATTGGCGTGTGAGGTTGCGAATAGTCGAGCGAGTCGCTCAAGCTCGCACCCAAGGTCTGCGATTCGCAATGAATTCCGGATGCTCTTCCGTGATTGGCTATAGCAGCCGGTTGAGGGGAAGGCAGGGGCAGGAGCAGTTACGACGAAGCAGCCAGTGTAGTGGGTCGCTAGTTCAAACGACGGGCGCCAAACCTTGTGCCGAAATATGAGCGACAACGTTTGCAAAGGTTCGAAGAAACTCTAGAGGGCAAGATTTCGTCGCAAGCTCGCGAGTTTGGCGCGGCAACGCACCTGCTGAGCTGATTTGTCGCAACGAGCCTTTCTCCCTCGCCAGGGGAGGCTCTGACACACAGCGCGATGGTTGATTTCGCAACTCTCGCACTTCGGTCAAACCCGCCAATGAAAACTTTCGCACTCCGCTGAATTTCTCTAGCATGAGTTGCATCCGTTCGAGGGTTCAAGGCAGGTTCAGCCCTCCCCAGATGCTGCCTGACAGAAGCCAAATGGCGCGATATACTGCCCGCCAGTTCTGATGATAGAAGTTTGGACGAGGATGATCGAAAATTCTAAACATTGAACTTATCTTTCCAGTTCCAAGTCTTCACCATTTGTTAGTATATTAGCACTTGTATACAACATGGACCACTCTTTAGGTAAGATGACACACAAAAAAGATGCAACAAATCGGATAACAACCGCTTAGGGGTCAAACTGAAATCAACGCCACCCAGACTGCTGCAGCTCCAGCCAGGAACGTGGCAATGTACGCGAGCATGACAACGGTGGTTTCCGCCATGCCCGAGAGCTCCAGGTGGTGGTGGAAGGGCGCCATGCGGAGAAGTCTCAACCCGGTGCCCGTGATCCGCTTGGTGAGCTTGAAGAAGGAGACCTGTGTTGTCAAGGAAACGATTAAGAGAAACACACAGCGTGAGTAGACCATTTGGAAGACCCTGTGGCTGCAGCAGAGCAGTCTACCTGTAGAGACGGTGGCTGTGCATTCAGGAGTACCTTAAGCAAAGTTTCATGCAAGTGAGTGTACCTGTAGCAAAGCCAGCAGCAACTAGGTTTACCTGTAACATGACCGACACAGTCTCCAGGAAGAAAACAGCCGAGGCGACGAGGAGTGGAAAGAAGTGGCCAATAATCAGCCATGGCAGAGAGGGCCGCCTCGAGAGCCAAGGAGCCCATGTCTCTGATAAACACTGTTGCCTTGTGCCAGTTGTAGTGATGGCAGCTGTAGCGACGGCAGCTGTATGCGGCTGTTTACCTGTAGCAATGGCGGCTGTGCGTATCTGTACCTATCTGTACCGAAGCATGCAGCAACCGGGTTTACCTGTAGCATGACCGAAACTGTTTCGAGGAAGAAAACAGCAGACACAATAAGAAGAGGGAAGAAGAGGCCGGTGGTGGCAGCCATTGCAGCGAGCGCCGCCCCGAGAGCCAAGGAGCCCGTGTCTCCCATGAACACTGCCGCCTTGTGCCGGTTGTGCGCTAGAAACCCCATGCACGCCCCCGCCATCGCTGCTCCAAACGCCCCCATGGCTGGTGAGAGGGGGGATGGAAGGGGAGGGCGTGAGTGAGAGAGCATCAGAATGAGAGGGCAGCGAGTAGCGACAAGTGGTGGAGAGGGGTGGAAGGTGGCAGCGAGGGCCGCCCCGAGATCCAAGGAGCCCGTGTCTCCCATGAACACTGCCGCCTTGTGGCGGTTGTGCGCTAGAAACCCCATATGCATGCTCCCGCCATCGCTGCTCCGAACGCTCCCATGGATGGCGAGAGGGATAAGAATGGGGATGGAGAATGGAGGTGGGAGATGTGGATGGAAGGGAAGGGTCTGCGACTTCAAGGCATGAGCGTCAACCCGGCCAGACCCAGCCTGGCCCGACCCGGCCCGACCCGACCCGACCCGGGCTGGCCCGACCCGACCCGACCCGACCCGATCAGGCCCGGCCCGGCCCGGCCGGACGCGACTCGACACGACCTGACCTGTGGCTCATGAATCTGTCTACAACCCTGAATCTGCCACGAGTGGCTCATGACCATGTGTGGAACGTGTAACTGGGCCCCGTAACGAGGTGCAAATGAGTTCCCGAGGTGCAAATGAGTTCCCGAGGTGCAAACGAGTGGCCCTTGAGTCGGCTCGAAAACTCCTGAATGACCACGTGGAACGAATAATACGGTCTAATCGTGAGGTGAAAAAAGGAGTTCTCGAGGTGCAAATGAGTTCCCAAGGTGCAAATGAGTTCCCAAGGTGCAAATGAGTTCCCAAGTTGCGGGGGGGACTTACCAGGGTAGATGGGAAGGCAGGCAATGGCCATAGCAATGAATGCAATGGCAGTGGTGCCGGCTGCCAGCCCATCAAGACCATCTGTGAGGTTGACAGCGTTGCTCATTGCTGCCACACAGAAGACCGTTACCGGCACATACCACCTGGATGGAGGGAGTTGTAGGGAGATAGAGAGGGTAGATTTATAGAGGTTCATAAAGGGTACAAACATGAGTGAAGTTGACAGAATTGCTCTTTGCCGCCACGCAGAAAACTGTAGAAGGGTACACACCACCTGGACGGAGTTATACGGAGAAAGGATCGATTTTATGAAGGGCACAAAACTGCCTACATACATACATGGTCATACCATCAAATGACACTGCTGAAACATGACGGGTCGGAGAAAACGAATAACACTACAATGGCACTGTAGTCGTAGCCTCTGGGAGAGACAATGAATGAACAGAGACCAGTTTTTGAGGCGCCTTAACAACTTGTAAGGAGGCATACCTGCCAAAGTAGTACCACCAAAGACCAGTTTTTGAGGCGCCTAAAAAATAGCCTCTGGAAGAGACAATGAATGAAGAAGCATACCTGCCAAAGTACCAGAGACCGACTGGCTGTGGAAAAGGCACTATATTCTTCCTGAAACGCATGATACGCCGGGCATCCAGTCAGAAAGGTGGATGGAGGGGGGAGGGTAGGAAGGAATGGTGACTTGTGAGTCGACTCTAAAGTACCAGAAACCGATTGGCTGTGGAAAAGGCACTATATTCTTCCTGAAACGCATGATACGCCGGGCATCCAGTCAGAAAGGTGGATGGAGGGGGGAGGGGAGGAAGGAATGGTGACTTGTGAGTCGACTCTAAAGTACCAGAGACCGATTGGCTGTGGAAAAGGCACTATATTCTTCCTGAAACGCATGATACGCCGGGCATCCAGTCAGAAAGGTGGATGGAGGGGGGAGGGGAGGAAGGAATGGTGACTTGTGAGTCGACTCTAAAGTACCAGAGACCGATTGGCTGTGGAAAAGGCACTATATTCTTCCTGAAACGCATGATACGCCGGGCATCCAGTCAGAAAGGTGGATGGAGGGGGGGAGGGGAGGAAGGAATGGTGACTTGTGAGTCGACTCTAAAGTACCAGAGACCGATTGGCTGTGGAAAAGGCACTATATTCTTCCTGAAACGCATGATACGCCGGGCATCCAGTCAGAAAGGTGGATGGAGGGGGGAGGGGAGGAAGGAATGGTGACTTGTGAGTCGACTCTAAAGTACCAGAGACCGATTGGCTGTGGAAAAGGCACTATATTCTTCCTGAAACGCATGATACGCCGGGCATCCAGTCAGAAAGGTGGATGGAGGGGGGGAGGGGAGGAAGGAATGGTGACTTGTGAGTCGACTCTAAAGTACCAGAGACCGATTGGCTGTGGAAAAGGCACTATATTCTTCCTGAAACGCATGATACGCCGGGCATCCAGTCAGAAAGGTGGATGGAGGGGGGAGGGGAGGAAGGAATGGTGACTTGTGAGTCGACTCTAAAGTACCAGAGACCGATTGGCTGTGGAAAAGGCACTATATTCTTCCTGAAACGCATGATACGCCGGGCATCCAGTCAGAAAGGTGGATGGAGGGGGGAGGGGAGGAAGGAATGGTGACTTGTGAGTCGACTCTAAAGTACCAGAGACCGATTGGCTGTGGAAAAGGCACTATATTCTTCCTGAAACGCATGATACGCCGGGCATCCAGTCAGAAAGGTGGACGGAGGACGAGTAGGGAGATTGCGTTGGGGGGAAGCGGGAAAACGCATGAGATTAAAAATAAAGAAAAGATGGATGGAGCAGCAGAGAACACGTGGTATGCACATATGATGGTTAGAAACGTAGGGCCCTCCCGCTCTCTCTCTCTCACACACACAGAGATTACAATCATTGCAAACAAAGCAGAAATTCAGAGAGCCAGGTGCCAAAGCCACGTGCTAAGTGCTTGAATAAAGAGAAGGGCAAGTCATACATGGAATAGGGCGATTGAAGATTTGCCCCGTGCAACCAGTAGCTGAGTGCCAGACCTATTGCTACCTGTAGGGTTGTGAGGAGGGGGGACGAGGGGGGACGAGGGGGGGGGGAGGGGAAGAGGAGGGGAGGGGAGAAGAAAAGGGGGAGCACTTGAGGAAACTTATAGGAAAGCAGCAGCAGCAGCACTTCAGGTTGGCCCCGGGCAACCAGTAGCGGACGCGCCTTCTTTCGAGGCGCCTCAAAAGTGGACCTGTGCAAGCAGTAGCTGAGGGCCATGCATGCCCACTTTAGAATTCCCAGAAGTAGAATTCCCAAAAGTAGAATTCCCATAAGTAGAATTCCCAAAAGTAGAATTCCCAAAAGTAGAATTCCCAAAAGTAGAATTCCCAAAAGTAGAATTCTCAAAAGTAAAATTCACATAGTGGATCCGAGCAAGCAGTAGCTGAGGGCCATGCATGCCCACTGCACCAACATCATCATCGCCACCGTTGCTGCTGTCACTCCTGCCAACTCAGGGGAACTCCCTCCCTCCCAGTCGCCACCCTCATCGTCACTAACCCGAGAATACTAAAAAAAGCCTTAGCCCCCCTCGCTTTCCCACTGCAGCCCAAGCTTGGCCATCAGGCTGAGTCCATAGTTTTGCTTCCTGGCCAGAGACAAACCGTCATGCACCGCCCCCCACCGCCATCATCGCCACTGATACCGCTGCCACTCCTCACCCTTCCCACTCTCCCTCTAGTCTTGGAGCTTCCTTACCTGCAGCCCAAGCTTGGCCATCAGGGTGAGTCCGTAGTTTTGCTTCCGAGCCAGAAACAGCCCATCATGCACCGGCCCCACCATCATGGCCATCACCCACTCTCCCCACCACCATCATGGCCATCACCCACTCTCCCCACCACCATCATCACCCACTCTCCCCACCACCACCATCACCCACTCTCCCCACCACCACCATCGCCATCACCCACTCTCCCCACCACCACCATCGCCACTGTCACCGTGCAAGGATCAACTGACCTGCAGCCCAAGCTTGACCATCGGGATGAGTCCATAGTTATGCTTTTTCACCTGCCCATAGTTATAGCGACAACCCTGCCCTGCCCCATCATCCACCACTCCCACTGCCATCATTGCAGCCGTTGCCGCTATCACTCTGCTCCCTCCCTTATCTGTGTGCTGCCTCACCTGTAAGCCATGCTTCCCCATCGGGGAAAGCCCACAGTTGTGTTTCTTGGCCAGAGACAACCCATCATCCACCGCCCCCACCAGCAGCATCGCCACTGTCGCTGCTGTCACTCCCCTCCCTCCCCCCCCCTCTCCCTCTTATCTGTGTGCTACCTGTAAGCCAAGCTTCCCCATCGGGATAAGCCCATAGTTGTGCTTCTTGACCAGAGACAACCCATCGTCCACTGCTCCCACCAGCAGCATCGCCACCATCACCATCGCAGCCCCTCTTTCCCTCACTGGTTGTGCTCCTTACCTGCAGCCCAAGCGGGTGAGTTTTGAGACGTCTCAAAACGTGCTCCTTACCAGCAGCTCAAGCGGGTGAGTTTTGAGACGTCTCAAAACGTGCTCCTTACCTGCAGCCCAAGCGGGTGAGTTTTGAGACGTCTCAAAACGTGCTCCTTACCTGCAGCCCAAGCGGGTGAGTCCACAGTTATGCATCTCAGCCAGAGACAACCCATCATCCACCGCCCCCACCGCCATCATCGCCACAGTGGCTGCCGTTACTCCGGCCAGCTCAGGCGGACTCCCAGTCGCCACCCTCGCTACAAGTCTTGGCCCCTCTCCCTTCCCCCCTCTCCATCTCATCTTTGTGTTTGATTACCTGCAGACCCAGCTTCCCCATCGGTGTAAGCCCGTAGTTGTGTTTCTTGGCCAGAGACAGCCCATCATCCACCGCCCCCACCGCCATCGTCGCCACCGTTGCCGCTGTCACCCCTGCCAGCTCAGGCGGACTCCCAGTCGCCACCCTCGCTACAAGCACACCCAGCGGCACGAAGAACAGCCCCCCCATAGTGGGCGTCCCCGCTTTAGTCACATGCGTGGCGGGGCCCTCCTCTCGCACCACCTGCTGGGCTTTAAGCGAGCGCAGGAACGGGATGGCGATGGCGCCCGCGTATGCTGACGTGGCGGCGGCGGCTAGGAAGGGAATTGTGAGGAAGAAGGCTGCGAGGGGGCGGCGGATGAGGCGCCAGATGAAGGAGTCGACGAGGAGGAGCGTTGAGAGGAGGGCGAGGAAGAGTAGAACCGAGATGATTCGGCCGTGGGATATCCTGTGGTTGGGAGGAAGCACAGGGCCAAGTGGGACGAGGGCAAGGGGGTTAGAAGGCGGTTAAGGGGCGGCGGATGAGGCGCCAGATGAAGGAGTCGACGAGGAGGAGCGTTGAGAGGAGGGGGAGGAAGAGAAGCACTGATATGACCCGGCCATGGGATACCCTGAGTGAGGTGGGAAGGACGGGGCAAGAGGGAGTGCGACAAGTGGGAGGGGGAAAACAAAGGGAAGGGGGAGTAGAGGAGAGCGGGGAGCAAAGGAAAGGGGGAGGGGACGAAGGGGGTTAATGGGCTGGTAAGGGGGCGGAGTTAATACGTTAAAATTAAGAGCTTGCCTCCTTTGAAAATCCCTTCACAGTCTCCTCACCTCATCTTTCGTTTCGTCTCTTCCTCGCTCTCCACCGATCTCTCCGTCTCCCGCGTTTTAAGCGCCGCGGATCCCACCGCCTCTACCCCTTTCTCAACCTCCTTAGCCGCCGCCCCAAGAAGCTCCGACGAAGCTTCCTCCGAGCCGCCCAATTTGAACTTTAATCGCCGCCCGTTCACGCCGAGCCGCTCCTCCGGGCCGCCGCTAAGTTCGTCAAGTGCGTCCCCGAGTGACACGTCAGCAGTCACCGCGGCCAAGCCGCCCACGCGGTGAAGCGCGCCGTTGCCGGAAGAGGAGAAGGCACTCGTGTCCACGTCATCACCGTCGTCGCCGTCGCATGCCTGATGGGAGTGAACGACGGGTTGAGCGACAGGGTGAGGGCGAGGCGGGATCAAGGCAAGGGGCGCGAGAAGGCAAGGTGATCAGACCCGCGAGTAACTACGCCTAGCTCAACTCTACTTTCTAAGCGCTTCGGAATTACCAGGTCCAACTATATGTCTATTTCTCAGGCGCCTGAAGACCGGCACTAACGGCCCACGTTAACGACTATTTTTTTTTAGCACCCGCGCATTATTTTTGTCTGAGTCGACTCAAAAATCTTTTGTTAGGCGGAAGAGACTGGTGCCTTGCAACTTTTGTTAGGCGCCTCAAAAAGGCTGGTGCCTTAGAACAACAACTGTTACACGCCCCTTGCCCACCTTAACGTCGAGGCGTGGCGTCGCCGTGGATGGCGGTCCCCTGAACTGGAATCGCAGAGAGGCCGACCTGTCGCACCCGGCGGTCGCACGGCGTCGCACGATTGGCTCTGCGAGAAAGCGTCGCGTCGCACGGCCATATGCAAAAGCATCCAAGCTGCTGCCACTGTCGCACAGCCGTAGCCTCGCGCGATCTGCTTTTTGACTCGGCGCTACGTTTGTCGTCATCGTCATCGTCGGTTTTCCTGTCGTCCGCAAGTCAGCGAATCTCCGTACACTGCACACTGTCGAACTCGCCAGAGCCGTCGATTGCCCATTTTGCGCTCTACAGGAGGTGATCGCCGCCGTTAATGTCGTCCCAGTGAACCCCCCCGCTACTGCCACCTCAGCCGGCATCGCCACGTGTGGGATACCTTTGTCAAGAGGAAAAGGGAGCAACAGACGAGAACCTGGTAACCTAAACAGCTGCACCAATGCCTACTGCTGCGTTCTAGAAGTACCAAGTCGTCTTAAAGAGGCTTTTTGCCTTCAAGAGTTTTTGTAAAGCCCCGACGAGATTGCCTATAAGCCTACTCAAACGCAATTCGTTAGGTCACTAGTGCTCCTTGGTGCTTCCTGTCCCTACGCCTCATCGTCGGTCAGCTTGAGCGAGAATCTGTGACAATCACTACGTTTTTTTTTATTCCGCCTCCTCCACCCGAGTTCGAGCTGACTTACTTGCGAACTCGATGAACGCGCACGGATGCCCGGTTTTGTCGCTTTAATAATCTTTTGCGCGAGTAGGAACGACGGTCGTCACGAACAGCAGCTCCAGGCGTCAGAAGCAGCAACACTGCCGTGAAGGATTATGCTGCTGATGTAAAATAGGATAATACTACTGAAGATTGCTTCAAACGTGAGAAATGCAAATTGGGTGGTGAGCTCCCTCTTCATCCCACCCACCCACAACCTTCATTGACGGTTCAGGGGCTGGATGGGGCTGCTTGACACGCAAATCTGCAGCCTAGTATATGCTTGCAGCCATGGACTTGAAAAGAGAGAAACGAGGTACCGAAGTGTGATTTTATCAGACCGTTTTGGGACCATGATAATCGCAGTCAAACGTTGTAGACCACGGAAACCAGGAGCGCATTCTCTGTTGCCACGAAATCCAAGCCAGAGCAAGAATGCATGAAGAAAGCCGGCCAAGGTTTTCCCTTGCGGATACACGTAGCCTTGAAAGTTTACCGTGGGACCGTTCCACGTGGCACGTGCCAATTAAAAATTTTCATCTTGCCGCAACATCATGCTGCCATCGTGCGGCGGCGGCAGCATGGTGCCGCGAGAGCGTGCCACCATCAACTGAAATTGCAGTTGGCTGCTAGACCGAACCAGACCAAACCATACCAAACCAGATCCAAACCACCCCGAAGCTTCCAAAAACAGCCGCGGTGTGATGGTGGAATCTTAACGCAGCGCGGGCAGGGAATAAAGCAAATGCTACTGGAAAGGAGGACGCACAGTGATAGGTTGCAGTGCTTTGAGAGTGCTCCCAGGAAGCAAGGGTTCGACGAATGATGCAAAAGAGAATATTCTCGGTGTGTGCGGTGTGCTTTTCCCGCTGATAAGTAAAAGGTTCAAAATGTAACCTGTTTCAGGAGGATCCACTGCACTGTAGAGCAACTTACGGATTCGACGTAAAGAGAAGTTACAAGAGCTCTTGTATAGACGAACAATGTTTATGCTTGCTATACACCCAAGGCCACTCACCAGTTTACAGTCTAGCTCAATAAACGAATGACAGAGAGCTATCATCTCAGAGACGTCACTGCATTACAAAAATCACTTGTTCAAAAATAGTATGGTCCAAACATTAACTACACTCCTTAGGGCGTATTCCTATCCTCCTATCAATCTGGCCTCCTATCAAGCTCACACTGAAAAATCTCCTAAACCCAAAACCTCTTGCTACTTTTCCCAGGCAAAAGTACAATCTTGATAGGAGGTGGCCTTGATAGGAGGCTGTAGGAATACGCCCTTACTAACGCGAAATCAAACCAGATGTCGAAGGACAACAATGAGTTCAGGCTTCAGCTCTCAAGCTTCTTAGCAAAAAGCTTTCGAAAAGCAGCATTAGAGTCAAGTGGCACACCACCATCTCCTCCCGCCTCCCCATTCGCCTCTCCCCCTCCTCCCCCCCCTCCACCCATCTCCTCCCCCTTCGCACCGCCTCCCCCCTGCTGTCCTCTCCCCATACCACCCCTCCCCCCTGCTCTCCCCCCTCCTCTCCCCCCTGCCCTTCCAGCCACACCTCTCCCCAGGGCTTGTCCCACAGCCCGTGGCATGGCAAAGGTTGGCGAGCCAATCAGCTGCAGCTGACCCCCCCGCCTGGCACTAGCTGACAAAGGCTGCAAGCCGCGGCCTCCCCGCCCGCCTCTGCCGCCTCGGTGGGAAGGATGGTAGGCTGCAAGGAGGGGAGTGGGAAGATTTGGGGGGAGGGGGGCGAGCGAGAGGGGGGTGGGGGGGGAGTGGAGCGGTGAGGGAAAGAGGGGAAGGACAGGAAAGGGAGTGGGCAATTGGGTAGGAGGGTATAAGAAGGAGCTACATCTGGTATATCCCCCATTTCAACCTAAGAAATGTACAATGTGACAAGTAAAACGAGCCACGAAATTGCCAACTCGTAGTTTAAGAAACAGCATCAAGCCAGCAGAAAGAGTATCAAGAAACAGCAGCCCTTACCTTCCTCCTCTGCTTCGTCATGCCCCTCCCTTCCTCCACCACCCCTTCCTCTCCCCCCTCCTCCTCCCCCTCCCCCCCCACCCCCTTCCTCTCCCCCTGCCCCTGTCCCTGTGCCCGGAGGCATGGCTGGGGTCAGATTTCTTAATGGACACCTGGCGCCCTCTCATTGGCGTCCTGTTGAGCTTCTCTGCTGCTGCCACCGCCTCTGCACTGCCCAGCTCCACGTAGGCGAAGCCCTGAGAGAGAGGAGAGTGCAGAAAGTATGCAAGATAAGTGGGTGGGGGAGGAAAAGAAAAGGATGGAAGTTCAGTTCAATGAATGGAAACAGCCTGAGAAGGGCAGCGCAGGTGCGAAGACGAAGAGACAGAGGAAAAGGGGCTTCAGACAAGCAACAACAGCCCCAACAGCCACGTGGCCCTCGTGTTAACAGCCACAAGGCACTGCCAGTAGTCACTCCCCTGAACTGCCACGTGGCATTCACCCTGATCTGCCACTTGACACTCACCCGGAATTGCCCAGTGGAGTGGTTGAGCACCACCCTCACATCCCGTATCTCGCCACAATCCCTTAGCACTGTCATGTGGCACCCACCCTACCTGCCACGTGGCACTCAACCCTCTAGCCACGTGGCACACTCACCCGGAACTGCCCAGTGGAGTGGTTGAACACCATCCGCACGTCCCGAATCTCGCCACAATCTTTCAGCAGCTCCAGGATCTCGTCCCGAGTCGTCTGGTGGGAGGCAAAGGCAGAAGAGAGAAGCAGGAGAGAGAGAGGCAAGGGAGAGAAGCAAGGGAGACACGAGATTGAACTTCTGAGGTGCCTCAAAAGCAACAATCCTTCAGCAGCTCCCGGATCTCGTCCTGAGTCGTCTGGTGAGGGGGAAAGACAGAAGAGAGAATCAAGATTCATGTCGGGAGTAGCAGCAAACCTTTAGAACACGCCTAATCAACCTTCGGGACCGAACCCTGCTAGGGCTTCTTTCAGCAGCTCCCGGATCTCGTCCTCCTGAGTTGTCTGGTGAGCGGGAAACACAGAAGAGAGAAGCAAGAGAGAAGGAATAGGCGGGCCGCAGCACTTAAGACGCAGCCCTTCTCAGATCAGCTTGCTGCGATCGAACCTGTTCCTTGCCAATCTCAGAAAAGCAGCATCCAGGACAGGACAGCCCTTGGTGTTTTGAGTCGACTCAAAACACGACTCATTGCTGCGATGAAACACGCTCGTTGCCAATCTCAGATAAGCAGCATCCGGGGCAAGGAACGGATGGACAGCCCTTCAGCAGCTCCCTGGTCTCATCTGCCTGTAATTGTCTCGAGGGGAGACGAAAACACAGAAGAGACGGAACAGAACGACAACGAAACGAAACTGCAAAAGGCGAGATAGTAAGTAGGGTACTCAGTGGAGTAAGTTAGGCCACACGACTCACGCTGAGATCCAGGATCGAGAGGAACACTGTATTCTTGTCTGTGGAAAACCGCCCCTGCTTCTTCTCAGTGCGAGTAGCAGGTTTGTCTTGCTCTTAGGCTACTCAATGTGTGTGAGTAAAGTTAGGACGCGGTGAAAGTAGACGATCGATCGTCAGTAGCGATCGATGTGTGAATCGGTTACCCTATTAACTATGTTGTAACCATGCTACAGTACGCTTTCTGGCCAAAATTTCTGTACAGTGTGAGAATGCGACTGATCACTGTTCGCGGGAAATCTGTCAATTTTCAGCCGCGATCATTACAACATCGCGGTCGCCACGTTTCGCCAAACGATCTGCCCACTCGATTGTGGGGATCGATATATGCACACGATCCTGCGATACTTGCAGATGACTTTCAACGCGTCCTTAGGCCACAACTCACACTAAGATCGAGGTTCGAGAGGAACACCGTATTCTTGTCTGTGAAAAAGCGGCCCTGTTGCTGCCCCTGCTGCCCCTGCTGCCCCTGCTGCCCCTTCTCTTCTCCTTCCATCCTCTCTGCCTCCTTATCCTCCTGCTCCTTTCCCTCCCCTCCCTCTTCCTTTTTCTCCCCCCCCTCTTCTGCCTTCTCCCCTCCCTTTCCTTTCCCACCCACGGTCTCTTTCCCTTCCTCTGCCGAACCATCGCCTGCCGAACCTGCCTCCTTGCCAAGCCCCTCCTTCCCTCGCCCCTGCCTCTTGTCAAACCCTAATTCCGGACGCTGCCTCTTGCCTCGGTCTCTTCCCCCACCCTCCCCCCCTCTCTCCCCACCTCCTCCTCCACCTTCTCCTCCTTCTGCTCCTCCTCCTCCTCTACCCTTCTCCCCTCTCCCTCCTCGTGCGTCCCCTCCTCCTGCCTTGCGCTTCTGCCCACGCCCTTGCTCCACCTGCTGCTGTTGCTTCTGCTCCTGCTGCTGCTTCTGTTGCTGCTGCTGCCGGTGCTGTTGGTACAGCTGTGCCTGATCCTCGTGTGTACGATAGGCTGCCACTTCAGCCAAGCGAGGGGCAACCTGTTGATACGAGCAGACGGGTAAAGAGCAGGGGAGGGGCGGGAGCAGATGTAGGAGAGAGCAGCCAAGATTGAGGAGGGAGAAACAAAATGCTCAGGCACAGCCCCCTCCTCATGACATTTGTCCTCCTTATTAGAATGTCCTCATAAAAATAAGGGGCAAGTTGAAGCATTCTCTCCTAAGACGTACCTTATCTGATGCGAGATCGAGGTCCCCTAGTGTTCCCCACTCCCTCTCGAAGCGTATCCAGGCAGAACACACCTCCTGCACGCATTGAGACACAGGGAGGGAGAAACACACACGCTGAGGCACACACGCTCTGGCACACAAGCTTAGGGAGTTTTTGAGAATTCTAAAAAACGCTCTGGCACACAAGCTTAGGGAGTTTTTGAGAATTCTAAAAAACGCTCTGGCACACAAGCTTAGGGAGTTTTTGAGAATTCTAAAAAACGCTCTGGCACACAAGCTTAGGGAGTTTTTGAGAATTCAAAAAAACGCTCTGGCACACAAGCTTGTAAAAGTAGCAAATTGAACAAGTAACTTCATTAGAGGAGAAACCTAGCATACATAGTTGGAAGAGAGGCTTGGAAGAGAAGGGTAAAGGTGACCATAGGTTGGGTTGACCTCACTTGTAGAAGTGAGGCAACCCTAGGCCCACTTGGCTTGAGATGACCTCACTTGTGGGAAGTGAGGCACCCATAAGCCAAGTGGGTTGCATTTGGGGGCTCCACCACAATTGGGTGGATTGGCACCCCAAAGTGCAAGACTACACCCAAAGTTGGGTGTAGTCCCAACCCAACTGTACACCACAATTGGTGTACAGTCACATGTGTTGGCATGCTACACAACATATATTTTAACACAACCCCTTAGCATGCTAACACAGGAAGAGAACAACCCCTGAATCAAGGGGCGCCCGGGCGAGCGAGGCCAATGAGGCGGAGGAAAGCAGAGTGCGCAGGGCGAAGGAGGGCCTTAGTGAAGATGTCGGTCAAGTTGGCCTCGGTCGCAATCTTGCGAACGGCAATAAGGCCCTTCTGGACGAGCTCGCGAATGAAAAAGTAGCGGAGCTCGATGTGTTTGGAGCGGGCGTGATAGACGGGGTCCTGAGTGAGATGGATGGTGCTGGCATTGTCGCACCAGAGGGTGGGGCACGTCTGGGGGGCGCCAAGCTCTGCAAGAAGGAAACAAAGCTAGCGGGACTCCTGGGCGGCCATGGTGCCAGCGTAGAGCTCGGCCTCGCAGGTGGAGAGAGAGATGGCGGAGGAGCGGGTGGAGCGCCAGCTGATGAGGCCGCTGCCAAGGGTGAAGCCGTAGCCCTGGGAGGAGCGGCGGTCCGGCTGCGTGTCAGCCCAAGAGGAGTCACTGAAGCCCGAGAGAAGAGGAGGGGAAGGGCCGCCAAGGGTGAGGGCAAGGTCCTTGGTCCCGCGAAGGTAGCGGAGGACCCGCTTGGCAGCTTTCCAGTGCTCCTCAGTGTGACGACCGGTGCCGACAAAGCGGGCGAGCACGCTGATGGGGTAGGCGAGGTCGGGGCGGGTGCACATCATCGCGTACATCAGGGACCCAACGAGCTCGGCATAGGGGTGGGGGGAGGAGGTGGGGGAGGAGGGTGGTGCGAGTTGGTGGCCGAAAGGGAGGGGGGTGGAGACAGGCTTGGCCTGCGCCATGTCGAACTTCTCCAAGACCTGGCCGATGTAGTGGGACTGTGAGAGGGTGATGGTGCGAGCAGGGCGGTTGCGCGTGATGGCCATGCCCAGGTAGTGAGTGAGGGCGCCAAGGTCTTTGCACTTGAGACGCTGCTGCAGGGACAGCTTCATCTGCTCCATGTCGGCCCTGGTGTCAGAGAGCAGGATCATGTCGTCCACATACACCAGAATGAAGAATCGGCGGGGGGAGGAGCGGATGAAGAGGCTGGCGTCGGAGTGGGAAGCAGAGAAGCCGAGAGACCCTAAGGTGGCAGCCAGCTTCGCATGCCACTCACGCGGTGCCTGCTTCAAACCGTAGACAGGGCGGCGCAGCTGCCAGACAGTGTTCTCAGGGAAGGCTGCGTGGAACCCGGGGGGTCGCCGGAGGAAAATGCGCTCGTGCAGGTCGCCCTGCAGGAACGCATTGGAGACGTCCATGGAATCGATCTCCATGTTGTCACGTGCGCCAATGTCGAGGGCGGCGCGAAGGGTGGGTGGTTTGGCGGTGGGGGCGTAGGTGAACCAGTAGTCCTCGGCCCAAGTCTGCGTGAACCCCTTGGCGCAGTAGCGGGCCTTGTACACCGGTTCCTCGCCCGGCAGCTGCTTCACCCGAAAGACCCATTTCCCGTCCACGAGGTTGGCGCCGGCTGGGAGGGGGACATCGACAAAGGAGTCGTTGCGAATGAATGCCTCACACTCCAGGAAGATCGCTGCTATCCATTTATCCGCGTCAGGGCAGGTGATGGCTTCCTGGAAGGTGGAGGGAGTGAAGATGGTGGGGGTGGTGGTGGCGCCAAGGACAGGAAAGCCCAGGAAGTCAAGGTAGAGGGAGGCAAGGAACGGAGTGTGCTCCCGAATGTTGAGGAACTCCTCATGGGAGTCCTCAAGGAGCTGAATGGAGGCAGGAGGAGGAGCCCCAAGGATTTTGTCCACCGAGCGGGTATGGATGTAAGGGAGGAGGAAGGGGGAGGAGCGGGAAGTGGCACGGCGCCGCTGCTGCTGCTGGTGCTGCTGAAGCTGCTGCCCTTGTTGTTGCGGCTGCTGCGGACCGTGCTGCTGCTGTGTCTGCTGCTGCTGCTGCTGCTGCTGTCCCGGTTGCTGCTGTTGCGGCTGCCCCGGCTGCTGCTGCTGCTGCTGCTGCTGCTCCGGCTGCTGCTGCTGCTGCTGCCCCGGCTGCCGTTGCTGCTGCTGCTGTTGCCCCTGCTGCCGTTGCTGGTGTTGCTCCGGCTGCTGCTGCTGCTGCCGCGGCTGCTGCTGGTGCTGCTGCTGCCCCTGCTGGTGCTGATCCGGCTGCTGCTGCTGATCCGGCTGCTGCTGCTGCTGCTGCTGCCCCTGCTGTTGCTGATCCGGCTGCTGGAAAGGAGGAGAATGAGAGGAGGAGGGAGAGGGGGGAGGGGGTGCAGTGGAGTGAGCGGGGGAGGCGGGTGCGGCAGGGTTGTAGACGTCGGCAGAGGAGGAAGGCGGGAGTGGAGCGGCGACAGGTGGGAGGAGAGGCGCTGGAGGGAGAAGAGGCGGGAGGACGGTGTCGGTCCAAGCGAGGGGGCGAGTGGGAGGAGGGAGGGGGTCAGGAGGAGGGGTGGAGTAGTAGGGAGTGGACTCGTCGAAGACGACGTCAATGCTGCGGATGAGGCGATTGGTGGGAGGGTGGAGGAATAGGTAGCCAGGGGAATCACGATTGTGCCCAAGGTAGACACACTCCAGAGCGCGAGGAGCGAGCTTGCCAGCAGCGCGGGAGCGGTCGGCCGGTGGAATGAGGACGAACGCCTTGCAGCCCCAAACACGAAGGCCTGCGGCGTCAGGCTTGGCCTTGGACCAGAGTTCTGTGGGGGAGGAGGAGGGATGCTGAGGGTGGGAGCGGAGATTGAGGAGGAGGGTGGCATGAATGAGAGCATAGCTCCAGAGGGAGGGAGGGGTGGAGGCGTGAGCAATGAGGCAGCGCGCAATCTTGGTGATCTCACGGATGCGACTCTCAGCGATGCCGTTTTGCTGAGGGGAGTGGGGAAGGGTGGAGGTCTGCTGAATGCCGTATGTTTTGCAGTAAGTGGAGAGAGTATGATTGATGAACTCACCCCCACCGTCAGAGTGAAGGCGGCCTATGGGACGTTTGAAGTGGTTGCGGCACTGCTCAGCCCAGTTGATGACCACAGCCGGCACCTGGTCTTTCGTGTGAAGAAAGAAGACGGTGGAGTACCGACTGTGGTCGTCGACGAGCACGAGCATGTACCTGTGCCCCTGACGAGAGCGGATGGGATAAGGGCCCCAGAAATCCATGTGAACAAGGTCAATGGGGGCGGGAGCGAAGGTGGGGTGACTGTGATGGGGGGACTGTTTGAGCTTGCCATGAATGCATGATGGGCATGGGGGGGTCAGGGGAGGAGGGGAGGGGAGGTAAGGTGGGAGGAAGGCTGTTAAGGAGGCGAGAGGTGACGGTGGAGCAAAGTGCGGCGAAGTTGGGATGGCCGAGTCTGTGATGTAGGAGCACCGCAGGATGGGAGAGGGCAGTAGAGGAGGAGGGGGATGGGGTGGGGGAAAAGTTGGGGGGGGAGGAGGAGGCGGATGGAGTAGAGGAGGAGGATATCGGAGGGAGAGGGAGAAGGGGAGGGGGAGGGTGAGGGGGAAGAGGAGGGGGAGGGGGAGGGAGAAGGGGACCGGTGGAAGTACCAGCACGAGTGGTGACGTGACAAAAGGAGGGACGGGGTGTGCGGAGCGTGTAAAGGCGAGTGCGAGGGCAAAGGGGAATGCGCAGGAGGAAACGACCAAAGGCGGTGTGATAGAGATCGCAGTAGGAAGCAAAGCCAGGGTATATGGCGGTAATGCCAACGCCTTGGAGTTCACGGTGGGAGAGGAGGTTATTGCGGAGGGTAGGGATGTGGAGACTGGTGACTGTACCGGATGGGAAGGCGGTGCAAGGAAGGGTGGAGAGGTGAGTGCAGGGGATGGAAAAGCTGAAGTCGGCACCATGAACCTGGGTGGGAAGTGGGAGGGGGGTGAGGGTGCCAGCGTCTTTTAGTGCGGTTTCGATGGCCCCACTGTCAAGGACAAAGTCCAGGGTGGGGGGGGAAGGAGAGGGAGGGAACACAGAGTACTGGAGAGTTGTTTCATGGATAGAAGAGGGAGAGAGCGGCGGGTGCTGCTGCTGTAAGTACTGTTGCTGCGGCGGCTGCTGCGGTGGGAGAGACTGTGGCGGTTGCGGCTGGAGAGATTGGGCTGCTGCTGCTGCTGGAAGCACCACCGATGCTGCTGCGGTTGCTGCGGCTGGAGAGATTGTGGTGGCTGCTGCTGCTGGAAGCACTGCTGCCGCTGCGGATGGAGAGAACTGTGGCTGGTGCTGCTGCTGGAAGCACTGCTGCTGCTGCGGCTGAAGAAACTGTGGCTGCCGCTGCTGCTGGAAGGACTGCTGCTGCTGCTGCGGCGGAAGGAACTGTGGCAGCTGCTGCTGCTGGAAGCACTGCTGCTGCTGCGGCTGGGGAAACTGTGGCTGCTGCTGCTGCAGGAAGGACTGCTGCTGCTGCGGCGGGAGGAACTGTGGCAGCTGCTGCTGCTGGAAAGACTGCTGCTGCTGCGGCTGGAAGGACTGCTGCTGCTGGGGATGGAGAAACTGTGGCGGGTGAGGCTGGAGAGATTGCGGCTGCTGTCGGTGTTGGAAGAACTGCTGCTGCTGCGATTGCCGCGGCTGGAGGAGATGTGGGGGGTGTGGCTGGAGAAATTGTGGTTGCTGCCACTGCTGGAGGTGCTGCTGCTGCTGATGCTGGAGCTGCTGGAAACGCCGCAGATGGGGAGGGGGGGAGGAGGTGAGCAGGCGGAGATAAGGGGGGGGGGAGGAGTGGAGGGTCGGAGTGTTGAGAAGGGAGGGGCGAGGAGTAACACTGCTCCAGTGAGGAGGGGGGAGAGGGGCAGGGGGGGTAGCAGTCATGATGGGTGACGGCGGGTGGACCCGCGGCGGCCAAGGGTGAAGTTGCTGCTGCTGAGGCTGCTGCACTTCCCCTGCTGCCGCTGCTGCTGCCGCTGGCAGGAGGAGGGAGGGGGGGGGTAAAGGAGGGAGACAGCGGTGGAGGGCAGAGGCGTTCAAGGTGAAGGGAGCGACGGTGACAAGGGCGCAGGCGGCTGTGCGAACGTGCGGCGGCGGGAAGGGGAGGCGGTGGCAAAGTCGGGGGCGGAGGCGGCAAGCAGGCCGCGACGACGAAGGGCGCAGGCGACAGCGGAAGGGCCGCGGCGGCGATGTTGAGAGCGGCGGCTGCAAGCAGGTTGCGGCGGCGGAAAGGTGAAGGCGGCGGGGAAATGGCTGCGGCGGCGAAACGAGGGACGGCGGCGGCAGGCAGGCCGCGGCAACGAGGGGCGCAGGGGGAGGGGGAGGGGGGGGGGAGAGGAGTAGGGAGAGGAGGAAGGGAGGGTGCAGTTGCGGCTGAATCTGCAGGCGGCGACGGGGCAGTCACGGCGGCAGGAAGTGTGGGCGGGGATGGCGCGGTCGCGGTGGAGGATGGGCAGGCGGCGCCGAAGCAGTGGCGGCGGCAGGGCGGCGGCGGCGCAGTCGCGTTAACGGGAACCGCGGGGCGACGATGTTGCAGTTGCGGCGGGGGAAATTGCGGGCGGGTGGCGATGCAGAAGGGGCAGCGAAATGCGTGGGTGACGCAGAAGCAGGTGCGGCGGTGGGAGGGGAGGCGGAAATGCGAAATCGCGGCGGGGGGGGGGGGGGGGGGGGGGGCGCGGGAAGGTGACGACGAGCAGTCGCGGCGGCGGAATGCGCAGGCGGCGATGTTAGGTCGCGACGGCGGGACGGGCAGGGGGGCGACGAGCTGTCGCGGTGGCGGAATGCGCAGGCGGCGATGTTAGGTCGCGGCGGCGGGACGGGCAGGGGGCGACGAGCTGTCGCGGCGGCGGGACGGGCAGACGGCGCCGAAGCAGGCGCGGCGGCGGGAAGGGGACGCGACGACGAGACGTCGCGGCGGAGGGACGGGCAGGCGGCGACGAGGCGTCGCGGCGGCAGGATGCGCAGGCGGCGCCGTAGCAGGCGCGGCGGCGGGAACGCGGCGACGTGACGTCGCGGCGGAGGGACGGGCAGGCGGCGACGAGGCGTCGCGGCGGCGGGATGCGCAGGCGGCGCCGAATCAGGTGCGGCGGCGAGAGGGGGAGGCGGCGACAGTGGGGTCGCGGCGGGGGGGAGGTGGGGACAGCGGCGTTGCGCTCGCGGCGGTGGTATCCGCAGGCGAGGAAGGCGTAATCGCGGCGGGAGGGGGGGGGGAACGGCGGCGACGGCGTAGGTCGCGGCGAGAGTATGCTAGTGATGGCTAGTTGAGCCACGCGTAGGAAAGGGTTTGTAGCTGTGGGGTGGGCCCATGGGGAAAAAAAAAACTGAAGGGAGGGAGAGGTAAGGCCTAGGAACAAGTAGCTCTATACCATGTAAAAGTAGCAAATTGAACAAGTAACTTCATTAGAGGAGAAACCTAGCATACATAGTTGGAAGAGAGGCTTGGAAGAGAAGGGTAAAGGTGACCATAGGTTGGGTTGACCTCACTTGTAGAAGTGAGGCAACCCTAGGCCCACTTGGCTTGAGATGACCTCACTTGTGGGAAGTGAGGCACCCATAAGCCAAGTGGGTTGCATTTGGGGGCTCCACCACAATTGGGTGGATTGGCACCCCAAAGTGCAAGACTACACCCAAAGTTGGGTGTAGTCCCAACCCAACTGTACACCACAATTGGTGTACAGTCACATGTGTTGGCATGCTACACAACATATATTTTAACAAAGCTTAGGGAGTTTTTGAGAATTCTAAAAAACGCTCTGGCACACAAGCTTAGGGAGATTTTGAGAATTCTAAAAAACGCTCTGGCACACAAGCTTAGGGAGTTTTTGAGAATTCTAAAAAACGCTCTGGCACACAAGCTTAGGGAGTTTTTGAGAATTCTAAAAAACGCTATGGCACACAAGCTTAGGGAGTTTTTGAGAATTCTAAAAAACGCTCTGGCACACAAGCTTAGGGAGTTTTTGAGAATTCTAAAAAACGCTCTGGCACACAAGCTTAGGGAGTTTTTGAGAATTCTAACAAACGCTCTGGCACACAAGCTTAGGGAGTTTTTGAGAATTCTAAAAAACTCTCTGGCACACAAGCTTAGGGAGTTTTTGAGAATTCTAAAAAACTCTCTGGCACACAAGCTTAGGCAAATGTGATGTGACTATTGAGTCGACTGACAAGCCGCCTAGCAGTGTCCCCCACTCCCTCTCAAACCGTATCCAGGCAGAACACAAAGCACCTCCTGCACGCATTGATTGAGACACATGAAATACCACACAAACAACACAACACAACACAACACACACACGCAAATATAAGCATGAAAGAACACTCATCTATGAGCGTGAGTCAATCTTCCAGCTGTAGCAATTGCAAGAATAATATCTATGAGGCACCAAAAATGAACACCCAATACCTCTGTGCCTGAGGGAGAGTCAAACTTCCGGCTGTAGCAGCGGCGGAAGACTGACCGAGCCTGGTTGTAGCACCCCCTCTCCGTCTCAAACTGAGTGAAGCCCAGCCAGGCTTGGTGAGAGGAGCCGCTGTTGGATAGGGTAGGGGGCAGAGGAGGGGGGACAAGCGAGGACGTGTTAAGGACGATTGACTGGTTAACGATGAGCCGCCGCTGGTCAAGGAAACCCGACTCGGCGGCGAAGTGAGCAAAGGCCAGCAAGACCCCGTGAGTGAGATGACCTGCCTGCTAGTTGGAAATCACTTTTGAGGATTCTCAGGTGTGTTTTGAGTCGACTCGAAACTCACTTCTGAGAATTCTCAAAAATGCGGAGAGCGGGGAAGAGGAAGAGAGGAGAGCAGGAGAGAATTGCTCAAACGCGACTCAGATTCTTGTTGATCTGAGCTAAATCCGAGTCGCGCCTGCAGCCATTATACTCACTGCTTTCTCATGAGGTGTTCCCAACTGGCCCTTCCAGCAGCAGCAGCTTCCCCCGCCGCTCCAGTCGCACCTCCCCCAGATGCCCCCTCCCCTGCCCTCTCCAGTTGGCACTCTATATGCGACAGAAGCCATGATAAGCGATTAAGGCGATTTTAGGCGCCTCAAAAACCGTCTCAATGTGCGGAAGAAGCCAGGATACTCACTGCTTCTTCACAAATTGCTCCCAGATGGCCCTTCCGGCAGCTTCTCCTGCCGCTCCAGTCGCACCTCCCCCAGATGCCCCCTCTCCTGCCTTTTCCAGCTGACATTCAATGTGCGCCTGGTACCCTGCAAGGTGCAGCTGGGCTTGCTGGTGGTCGGGGAAGTACGAGGCCATGAACTCAGCTGCACGCTGCAAGGATGGTTGAGGTCGGGAGCGGCAATCAGCGGAAAAATCCAGGTGAGGTGAACTTCAATATGCGCCTGCTACCCCAAGACATGCCCAGTGGCTATCAAGTACAACTGGTCTAACTGTTGGTTGGGAACGTATGATGCCATACTTAGTCGCATGCTGAAACGATGGGTAAGGTGGGGACTACTTCAATCACATGTTGCTAGCAGGACTACCAGCTTCAGTGTTTTATCCTCGCTAAGAACAGCCCCGTTAACAGCTCCTTCCTAAGATCCAGTCCAGACCGCATGAGTTACTTCAATCACACCACATACCTCAACTCAAAGGTTGCTCGCAGGGGGGCTACAAGCTTGCACTTTTCATCCTCGCTAAGAACAGCCCCTTTAACAGCGCCTTTGCAAGGCTCAGGAGGAGGTCTCAGCTGCTCTGATCTGATCACACGCGTTCTGCATGCATACCTCAAAGGTTGCTCGCAGGGTGGCTACCAGCTTCGACTTCTCATCCTCGCTAAGAGCTGCTCCTTTAAAAGCGCCCTTGGGGGGCTCAGGAAGAGGCATGAGGCGACGCCTCAAGCCGTCCAGGTGGGTGAGGAAAATGTCAAAGTACTGACATAGTAAAGGGGGGACAGGACAGGAGACAGAAGCAACGGATATATGGACTTTATGGGAAGGCGTTGGTCATGTCAATAGGCCGACGCCTCAAGCCGTCCAGGCGGGCGAGGAAAATGTCAAAGTACTGACGTAGTAAAGGGGGGACAGGACAGGAGGCAGAAGCAACGGATAGATGGACTTTAGGGGAAGGCGTTGGTCATGTCAATAGGCCGACGCCTCAAGCCGTCCAGGCGGGTGAGGAAAATGTCAAAGTACTGACGTAGTAAAGGGGGGATAGGACAGGAGGCAGAAGCAACGGATAGATGGACTTTAGGGGAAGGCGTTGGTCATGTCAATAGGCCGACGCCTCAAGCCGTCCAGGCGGGTGAGGAAAATGTCAAAGTACTGACGTAGTAAAGGGGGGGACAGGACAGGAGGCAGAAGCAACGGATAGATGGACTTTAGGGGAAGGCGTTGGTCATGTCAATAGGCCGACGCCTCAAGCCGTCCAGTGTCAGAATCCCAACCACTAGACCATTGGGATAAAAGGGCTTGTTAAGTAGCGGGTCAGTGCGCCCATAACCCCCCAGGTCAACATGCCTGTAACCCTTCCCTAGGATCAATCGGGGATCACCAGTGGACCTCTGACACCCCCCCGCACTGGGATGCCCGAAGTGCACACACTGGGTTTCGAACCCGAGACCTTCGCTCTGATACCATGTCAGAATCCCAGCCACTAGACCACTGGGATAAAAGGGCTTGTTAAGTAGCGGGTCAGTGCGCCCATAACCCCCCAGGACAACGAGCCTGTAACCCTTCCCTAGGATCAATCGGGGATCACCAGTCGACCTCTGACACCCCCCCGCACTGGGATGCCCGAAGTGCACACACTGGGATTCGAACCCGAGACTTTCGCTCTGATACCATGTCAGAATCCCAACCACTAGACCACTGGGATAAAAGGCTTGTTAAGTAGCGGGTCAGTGCGCCTATAACCCCCCAGCCCAACATGCCTGTAACCCTTCCCTATGATCAATCGGGGATCACCAGTGGACCTCTGACATCCAGGCGAGTGACGAAAATGTCAAAGTACTGTCGTGGCGATTGGGGTTCAGGGCAGGAGAAGGGAAAGGAAAGAAATGGTGATACTAGGGAGTGCAGAGAGGAAAAGGTCAAAGGGTTGCTGTGGCAATGTGGGAACAGGGCGGGAGGCGAAAGCAGCAAATAGCTGGATTCTGAGCGTTGTTTCTTTCTAACATGGGAGTGAGAGAGTGAGGAAAAATGGCAGGAATATATTATCGTGGTGGTGGAGGAAGGAGGGAGCAATGAGGGAATTGCCAAAGCACCGAGAGTGGTGAGGACAGCAGCGCGGGCGTAGAAAGAGAATTCGGGTTTGGGAAGGGAGAGTTCACCTCTTCTGCGGACTGGACTCCGGACACAAGGGCCTTTTCAAAGACCTGCATGGAAGAATCAGGTGAAAGAGCATGGGGAGAGAGGATCGTGGGTAGGAGGGGAGGAAAGTGAACAAGAGGAACTAGCACCTCGCTTTTCCTGCAAACTGAACTCCGGGCTGGGCACAAGAGCCTTTTTTTAAGACCTGCATTCACGGCACAGTAGGATCAGATGAGACGAGACGAGAGAACGCTTGCATCAGCTAAGCCTTGAGGAGTGACAGGAGGAGACTGGGGGAGAGCGAGGTAGGTAGAGTGTGTAACAAGACGAGACAAGGGAGGGCAATTTGTGATGAGACAAGACGAGGCCAAGAAAGCACGCATTTTGCGAGAAAAAGGAAATGGAATAAACAAATATTGTAGCCCCAGCAAAGCCTACCTCTGCCACGTCAGCATCAGCAGCTCCCAATCGCTCAAGGGCAAGCAGATAACGCGTCCAAAGAGTGCCCACCCACGGGCAGTTTCGGGCTGCCCGGGAATAAACTGAGCGCACTACAGAAGGCACCTGGAGGAAGCAGAGTAGCAAATAAAAAGAAAATGGCAAGAAGACCAAGTAGGCACATTTTGAAAATTCTACTGCAGAAAAAAACATTGACCGAGTTTACTACATCTGTAAATTGTACACCATACACGGTTGTCCATGGTATAAGCTGATTTCCTACAGCACATGTTGAATTGAACATGTGGTCAACCAGTAGAGTAGACGCACCTTGATTGAACTGACGGTCAACGAGGTCAATGACTTTCAGCCAATTTTTTTTGGGAATTCTCAAAAAACATACACGTAAAAACGCACAGGCAGGGCTGTGACCTCCCTCTTATCATGCACAGTGGCTTGGCGTGTGTGCGGTGAACCAAGGTCATCTGAGTCGATACTCTTAAACCAACGCGCACCTTGAGCGTATGGTCAACGAGGTCAATGCAGTTCAATACGCACCTTTGAGCGTATGGTCAACGAGGTCAATGTAGTTCAATACGCACCTTGAGCGTATGGTCAACGAGGTCAATGCAGTTCAATACGCACCTTTGAGCGTATGGTCAACGAGGTCAATGTAGTTCAATACGCACCTTGAGAGTATGGTCAACGAGGTCAATGTAGTTCAATACGCACCTTGAGAGTATGGTCAACGAGGCCAATGCAGTTCAATACGCACCTTGAGCGTATGGTCAACGAGGTCAATGCAGTTCAATACGCACCTTTGAGCGTATGGTCAACGAGGTCAATGCAGTTCAATACGCACCTTGAGCGTATGGTCAACGAGGTCAATGCAGTTCAATACGCACCTTGAGCGTATGGTCAACGAGGTCAATGCAGTTCAATACGCACCTTGAGCGTATGGTCAACGAGGTCAATGCAGTTCAATACGCACCTTGAGCGTATGGTCAACGAGGTCAATGTACTTGAGCCACACGTCAAACACCACAGGCAGACCCGTGACCCCCCTCTCATGCATGGCCTGCTGACGTGGCATGTCCCCACTGGCTGCCTCCAGTGCCAGATATTCCTGGGAGAGAGGGGGTAGGAGGAAAGCGGCGCATAAGGTGGGGGGAACGGGGAAGAGGGAATGAGGTAAGTGGGGGGTTGGGTTGGGGCGGTTTGGGGGGACGAAAAGGGGGCTTGCCAGAACCAATCAGTTCCTTGAAGGATTATATCATGCGGAGGAGAGTGGAGGAGGAGGGGGGTGAAGGATTATACGGGAAGGCTTCCATGGTGATGTGCATGGTGCGCATGGGAAGGTTTGTCATTCGTTGCCATACCATGACTTTTGAGGCGCCTCAAAAGTCATCCTTGAAGGATTATACGGGAAGCCTTCCCTGGGAAGGTTTGTCATTCGTTGCCATACCATGCACACCACCATACCGTGTATGCCTGCATCAGCTCATCTGTCTTCTCAAATAATGTAGCAACAGCACCACTCGCATCGCATCCCTAATACCCCTTCTCCTCTCCCCCCCTGTTCTGCCCATCCCTAATACCATGCACATCACCATACCGTGTATGCCTGCATGAGCTCATCTGTCTTCTCAAATGTAGGAGCAGCACCACTCCCACCACCACTCCCACCACCTTCCCCTCCCTTCTCCCCTCCCCCTGCTGCTGCAGCACCCCCCTCTTCCTCCACTCGCCTCTTCTCCCCTTCCAGCCTCTCGACCCTCTCCTCCACCCCCCTCCTCTCCCCCACCATCCTTTCCGCTTTCAAATACGCTGCCTTGACGCTTCCCGGAAGCTTCTCGATGTCGGAAGACGACTCAGAGGAAGGTGTAGGAAGCTTCTCGCCGCCTTCCTCCTCTTCCCAAGCCAGGTACGCTGCCAGCGTGGCAGGCAGCTGCAAATGAGGCACCGCCAGCTGGCGATGGAACAGCCCGCGCACCCGGGCGGCCTGCTTCGTCTTTTCCTCCTCCCCCTCCGTGTTCCGCAAAACCTCCATCTCGAATCCCCTGAAAGTCCCCCAGACAGATGCGCCCTCCCCCAGGTGCAGCCCGACCTGGGAGAGGGCTTGCTCTGCTGTGGCTCTGAAAAGCTTGAGACCGTCGGGGGTGTGTGTGGTGATGGCGGGGTGGTGGGCTGCTAGGAATGCCAGGTATCCCTGCCAGAGGGAAGGTGACTGGGGGCGGAAAAGGGTAGAGAGGGGTGGAGAAGGGTGATAAAGAGCTGCAGGCCGTTGGGGTTGTGTGTGGTGATGGGCTGCTAGGAAGGCGAGAAAGGCCTGCCAAAGAAAAGGTGACTGGGGAGCTATGGAGGGGGAAGAGGGGACGGCAAGGCAGGGGAGGAGTGGATGTGGAAGCAGTAGGGAAGGTAGGCCTGCCTGGTGATGAGTACACAGAGAGAATTGGGATTGGAGGGACGACGGTGAGAAGAGTGATCGAGGCAGTGATCGAGTGAGGGAGGGGGGGGGGATGCAGAGGAAATGAGGTCATGGGCGAGGATGAGCGGGGAGAGAGGGAGGAGGGAGGAAAGGACCGTTTGAGGAGGAAGAAAGAGAGTGGGGCGGAGGTGAAAGGGAGGAGAGAGACTCACCACGTACTCCTCCACTCCACGCTTGTAAAGAGCTTCCTTCTTTGCCATGTTTTGAGTCGACTCGAAACACGAAGGGGGGGGCGGAGGTGAAAGGGTGGAGAGAGTCAGAGAGACTCACCACGTACTCCTCCACTCCACGCTTGTACAGAGCTTCCACCTTGGCCACGTCAGCATCTCTGCGGGTTTCAGCACACAATGAGAAACAGATAGGATTTCGAAGAAGAACACAAACTGGAATGATAAGACTGAAAATGAGATGTGGAACAGAGACAGGGAGAAGCGTAGGTCTCTGTCCCAGGTACAACTGGGTGATTCAAAAGTGGATTTGTTGGAATTTTCAGAGTGCGGACTAGGTGGCCGGGATGAGAACAGCGCGCTGAGCGCGCTCATCAGCCTGGTTGAGCAGGCAGGCAGCAACCAGCAGGCAGCAGGCAGCAGGCAGCAGGCAGCAGGCAGCAGGCAGCAGGCAGCAGGCAGCAGGCAGCAGGCAGCAGGCAGCAGGCAGCAGGCAGCAGGCTTGGGGGGCACACTCACGAGGCAATGAGGCGGGTCTCGTCGTGAGCCCACTGCTGCCACATGGCAGGCGATAGCGGAAACAGCGTATTCATTGCCTCCCTCGCTGCCCGCAGCTCCTCCAGCATGCTGCTGCGGCGCAGCAGGGATATCAGCTGACACAAGGGGGTACGAACAACGGGGTACGGAGGGGAATAGAGGAAGGGGGGGGAGAGGAATAGTGGGGGGTTAGGGGACCGTGGGGGAGGTGAAGAGAAGGGGGGAAGAGGGGTAAGAGGTGTTTGTTGGGGCGCCTCGGAGCCCACAGCTGCCACATGGCAGGCGATAACAAGAAGAGCGTATTCATTGCCTCTCGTTCAGTCCTTGACTCCTCCAGCATGCTGCTGCGCCGTACAAGGGATACCAGCTGATCAGGGGGGTGAGGGGGTGAATATAGGTGGGGGAGGAGAAGGGGAGGAAGGGGAAGAGGTGTCTGTTGAGGCGCCTCAGAGCCCACTGCTGCCACATGGTGAGTGAGAGCGGGAACAGTGCATTCGTCGCCTCTTGAGCATCCCTTATAACCACCAGCATGCTGCTGCGCCGCAGCAGGGATATCAGCTGAACAGGGAGGGTGCACGAAAAAGGGGGGTTCAGGGGTGGGGGGAGGGGAGGGGAAAGGGAAGAAAGGGAAGGGGAGAAGGAGGGGGTTGGAGTGACGCACCTTGACTCCCGCCGCGCTCATTCAAATTAGCACTCGAGAATCGGAGTTGACGGTCAGCCATGACTTGGCGTTTGGACTGGTGGTGACCTAATCCGGCAGGCATTTGTCAGTGGCCAGCCATATCGTTCCATCTACACTCTCAACTCTCGCCTGCTATAGTCCAATATTTAGGCGCCTTAAATATTGTTTGGCGTGGCGGTGACCTAATTCGGCAGCATTCGGCAGTAGCCACCAGTTAGACATATGACGACCCTTGAGGCGCCTAGAAGGTCGTTTGGTGCGGTGGTGACCTAATCTGGCAGCATTCGGCAGTGGCCAGCCATTTCGTTCCATCAGCACTCTCAACTCTCGGCTCCTATGGTCCTCTTAGAGTGGAGAGGCGCCTCGACGTGCTTAAAGCGAAGGAGATTACTGGATGGGCTAAAAACGAGCACGTACCTGAACGTGAGCCTGATAGTCGTATGGATTCGATGCGATGCGCGCTTTGACTTGGTCAATCAGAGCCTTTCGCTCCGCCTCCTCCGCTGCTTCTTTCTCATCTTCGCTATCGTCATCCTCGCTATCATCGCCATCGCTGTCATCGTCCGAATCCTCTTTTTTCGGGTCATTGGTCGCATTTTTACCGTCACCGCCTTCGTCTAACTCTGAATCTGATGTTTCCGGCTTTTCTGCCATATCAACGTCACCATCACCTGCCTTCTCAACGGCTTTATCGTCGTCACTGGCCATGGCGTGACTCCTGATGGCCAAAGAAAGAAGGCAGAATGCAACACAGGAAGCATTGAATGCAAACGAGATTCAGTGGATTTCTTCGCTGTTGCAGAATCCATTAAATGAACCATTCCAATATACAGTCTACAAAGCAGCATGCTTGCAAACTAATACGGTTAGTGGATTTTCTGTTGTTTATGATAAAAATATTAATATCCTCAATATTATAATACTTCATGAGCAACTAGCATCTATTATGGCCTAAAACTAAGCAAGTTTGGAGACATATATTCTGCCAAAAAAAGGGCCATGCTAAAAGACGGGTTGGCATGTAAAAATGAACTATGGCCTAGTGTCAAATTCTATGAATACTATTCGAAACACATTATACTGCCTGACACTTGTAGTAGAGTGTAACACCTTGGCATCTTATCTTTTCCCAGCCGGTAATACCTGGGTTCGAGGCTTGTGGATCTGGGGTTTGTTAGGTAGGGTTTGTCACTGACATTTGGGGTTTGGATCTCAGGGTTTCGTCACCTACAGCTGATATTGGACAATTTGCTCAGGCATTGGCGTTTCGCAGTCCCGCAAATCGCGGGAGTGCTGCCTGCGCTTCAGCATTGACGAAATTGGCAAAATTGTCGTCAATAGAAGGTAGTTTTTACGGTTTTGATGCTTGACGAAGTTAAGCGCGTTGAGACGTTAGACCTCGTGTTTGTCGGACGAGCTTACCTACATTTATTGCAAATAGTAGTTTACCCTCTGAACGGAGAGGGAAAAAAAAAAAGTAGCAAGCGTTCACTGAGGTTCATGCTCGTATGGTGCAGCGTTTGCTTCCTCCCAGGATTTTAATTACGCCATTTCCATAGCTCGAGCGCGCGGCTGTCTTAGTACCTGCAATAGAGTGTGAAAACACGGAAAGGAAGCGCGACGGGCTTTCAGGAGCGTTGCCAACGCGAGAGAAGTAAAAAAGGGGTGACCTCGGGTCTGCAGAAGCGGAGAGAAAGATAGGCCGTGCGGTCAACGCACTGGATTATGTGAATACAGTTGGTCAAGGCGCGGAATATTTTTTTTTGCGATTTTGGAAGGGACGATTGAGGGGGGGGATTCTGTGGAGGAAAATTCCCAAAGCGAGGCCCCGTTAATAGCAGACCCGAAATTTAATGGAGTCCGAGGAGAAGCCGCTGGAGGCTGTGATTAAAGCGAACGGGGACGGTGCTGCTGAGGAGTGTGGCAAGCAGGGTGACAATGACGAGAGTATCCGAACGGGGGAAGATAGAGCAACGGAGGGTAAGGTTGAAGCGGAGAAACAAGGAGAACGAAAAGAAACGAGGGAAGGCGAGAAGGAGGTTGGAGAAGGCGAGAAGGGGACGGAAGATTCGGAAGGGAAGGTCTTACCTGGGGGAGGCTCCAACTTGCAAGAGGATGGGCCAGTAAAAGCGGAAGTTGAAACGGAGAAGCGATTGGATGGTACTGCGACTGCAATAGAGGTGGATACTGAAATGAGGGTAACTGAAGCGGTGATGACTGAAGCGAAGGTGACTGAAGGAAGAACTGAAGGAGGGGTGACTGAAGCGGAGGGTATAGAGAGGGAACAGGGTTTGGAGTCAGGAGGGGCAGGGGAGGGCGAGAAATCAACGAGAGAGAAAAATAGGGGCCAAGAAGGTGTTGGGGAAGCAGATGGGGCGGAAGAAGTGGATGTGGGGGGAGAGGGGTGTGGGGATGGAGAGTCGGAAGGAAAGGTTGACAAGGAGAGGGGAGGAGATAAGGAGATGGAGGAAGAGGAGGGCAGGAAAGGGAATGGGGACATGAAAGGTGAGGAGAGGGATGGGAAGAAGGGTGAGGGGAGGGATGAAGGGAAGGGTGAGGGAAAGGGTGAAGGTTGCAGTGACACTGGCGAGCAGGGTGATAACAAGGGTCCGAAGGACGCCGTAGACGTGACTATGGCGAATGGATCAGCCGAGGATGGAAAGGAGAGAGGGGTGAAGGGTGAAGGGGAGAAAGGGAGTTGTGATACGGCCAAGGATACGGAGGGGGAAGGAGCAGGAAGGCAGGTGGAACCTCTGGAGAAGGGGGGTGGGGGAGTAGAGAAGCAGGAGCAGGGGGGAGGGAAGATGGAGGAGGATGAGGAGGGAGGGAGAAAAGGGGAGGAGGAGAGAGCAGGGGGGGGGAGTGAGGGGGAGGGTATTAAGGAGCAGGAGAGAACAAACTCAGAGTCGGAAGGAGTAGAGGGAGGAAAGAAAGTGGAAGGAGAAGGAAGTAAGGTGGAAGAGCGGGAGGATCGAGGGAAGCAGCAGCAGGTTTCATCAGAGTCGGCGCAGCTAACCACTAACACGGAATCTGTTTTAACTTCAGGCACTGGTGCTAGCGCTGCTGCTACAGATGCTAAAGCCTCAAGTGCTAATGCTACAGGTGTTACTGCTACAGACGCTAATGCTACAGGTACTAACGCAACAGTTGCTCACGCTACCACAGATGCCATTGATTCAGATGCTAATCCCGCAACTGCTAACCCCACTGTCCCTGAGACAACAGATCTTACTGCTACAGAAGCTGCTGCTGCTACAGACATGAACACTGCAGACGGCTCTGCTGACCGTGGCCCTCCTGGTGTACTCCCATTGCCAGCAGAGCAGGGGCAGCAGGGGATGGAGGCACCGCCGCCCGTGGCAGCGGAGCAGCAGCTGATGGACCTCCGCCTGCTGGCGCTGCAGAACGCTGTGCTGCCCGCGCATGGGGAGGGTGGGCGTGCTGAGGAGAATGTGGCAGTGCCAGCAGCACCAGCAGCACCAGCAGCACCAGCAGCAGCAGCAGAGCAGGAGCAGGAGCAACAGCAGCAGCATGAGGGGATGGAAGCAGAGGTTCCAGCAGCAGCAGAAGCAGCAGCCGCAGCAACAAGCTCAGACGCAGCCGCCGCAGCAGAACAGCAGCAACAGCATCAGCAACAGCATGAGCAGCAGCATGAGGGGATGGACACAGACCTCCCAGCAGCACCATCTGAGCAGCATGAGGCGATGGAAGCAGCAGGGCAGCAGCAGCAGCAGCAGCACGAGATGATGGACATGCGTCTCTTAGCGATGCAGAACGTGGTGCTGGTGCAGGCAGCGAACGAGGAGGAGGAGATCGACGTGCTAGAGGTGGACGAGGAGGAGGAGGAGCAGCTCAAGAAACAGATGGGCGTGGGGGAGGGCGGGCCTGTTGAGTACATGGTGCTGGGGGGAGCGGGAGAAGGCCCGGAAGGGGGAGTTGGGGGGGTGATTGGGGGAGGAGGTGAAGCGGGGGTGATGGGGGATGGGGTTGTGGGAGAGGGGCAGGATAGTGCTACTGCTGGAGTTGCTGCTGGGGTTGCAGGTGGGTTGGTGTCGGAACACCCGCCTGATGCTGCTGCAGGTGGAATCTCAGGTGCGGTGATGGGCGGTGTCGCAGGTGTGGAGTCAGGTGGGGTGGCACTTCCGGTGGTTCCAGGTGGTGGTGGTGAAAGTGTTGCGGATGTGGCTGGATCAGCAGGTGTGGGATCAGCAGGTGTGGGATTAGCAGGTGTGGGATTAGCAGGAGTAGCATCAACAGGGTCACGAGATGATGACATGGTGGCTTCTACTATTCTCGGCCTCCTGCCCTCGCTCTGCCCCTCAACCCCTGGCTCTGCTGCTGCCGCTGCTGCAACTGCCGCTGCTGGCCTTACTTCTCCTGTCGCTGCTGCTGCTGGTGTTGCTGCTGCCGGTGTTGCTGTTTCTGGTGGTGCTAGTGTTACTGCTGCCGCTGGTGCTGCTGCTTCCCCGTCTCTGACTGAGCAGCAGCAGCAGCAGCAGCAGCAGCAGCAGCAGCAACGGCAAAGAGGGGAGGAGAGGGCACTCGGAGCTCTAGCCACTGCCTCGCCTGAAGGACGGACGGCGAAGAAAGGGGCGGATTCTGAGAGGGAGCAGCAGGCAGGAGGGGTGGGCACGCGAAAGCGGAAGCAGCAGCAGCAGGGGGATGGGGATGGTGTCCCGTCTCCTGTATACGAGCCCTTCGACCCTGCCTGTAAGCTCGCCTGCCTGCCTGTAAGTTCATCGTACGCGATTGGTGCAGCTCCCCGTCTCTCTCCCCCCCATCCCCCATCTCCCACCCAAACTCCTTTTCTTCTCCCATCTCCCCACTCCAGCTCTCCAGGGCGTCACTCGACGCACGCGCCATCACACCACCCGCCCTCCGCTTCAGTGTCTCAGTATCCTCCACTCTCCCGCACTGACCCCCTGTTTCCCCCTCCGGCAACCCCACTTTCTGCAGCTCTCCAGGGCGTCACTCGGCGCACGCGCCATCGCACCACACGCCCTGCCTCCCGCCTGCCCTTCATGGCCCTGGACGGCCAATCCGCCCTGCTCTCCCCCCACCACGCCGCCCTGCGCACCCAACCCCAATCCCAAGCCCAAACCACGAGCCAGAGCCACGAGCAGCAACAGCAGCAGCAGCAGCAGCAGCAGCAGCAGCAGCAGCAGCAGCAGCAGCAGCAGCAGCAGCAGCTGCGGCAACAGCATGCATCGTCACCCGGTTCCTCTCCTGCCGCTGCTGCTGCTGTGCCTACCGCTCTTCCGCCGGTGGCATCTCCTGCTGGTGTGACAGACAGCAAGGACGGCGTGCTCGGCAGAGGAAGGCGAGGTACGGCTGGGGGAGGTATGGGTGGGGGAAGTATGGCTGGGGAAAGTATGGCTGGGGGAGGTACTGCTGAGGGAGGTATGGCTGCAGAGGTATGTCTGGGATATGTGTGGAATATTTTCGCTTTTCTCCTGCTGGGGTAGGTATGACTGGGGCAGGTATGAAGAGCTCTCTCATTTAAACGACTCCCAACCCCGTTGATCTTTTCTCTCCCTCCCAGCCTCCGCAGGCTCGGTACCCGAAGCACCACTGGAAGCTTCACCTCTCAACGGGCCCGCCTTGGGACCAGGCGAGGGCTCTGGAGCAGCGGAGGCAGGGGAAGGCGCGGGGGCAGGGGGAGCAGGGGGGGCCGGGGAGGCAGGGGTGGCAGGGGGAGCAGGGGAGGGTGGTGCGCCGGCCCCTGCATCCGCGCCTGTGCTGCAGGCATACCACCGGCGACGACAGGAGCAACCACTTAGTGAGTGCGAGGGGCAACAGAGGCACAGAGAGAGCATAGGTGGGGGGGGGGGTTATCCGTGCCACGGTGCCAGTTCTGCACTGCGGGCGATGCGTTTATCACTTTGAAGATTCTCAAATGTGGTGCAGCTGAAAGGGTGCCGATTTTTTAGTCGACTCAAACCAGGATTCTCAAATGTGGTGCAGCTGAAAGGGTGCCGATTTTCCTGGCCCCGTCCTCCCTCGTCTATGTTCCTATTTCCCCCCCTTTTCTCCTCCGCTCTCCTGTTGTGTTTTGAATCAACTCAAAACACACCTGCTGCCAATCTCCCTAACCACATCCTCCCTCATTTATGTTCTTATCTTCCCCCTCTTTTCCCCTTTTTCCTCCCCAGTCCTCTTTTCCATAGAGAGCCTGTCAATGCCAGGGCTCTCAGTCTGCCTACCAGGGCTCTCAGGCTGCCTACCAGGGCTCTCAGTCTGCCTACCAGGGCTCTCAGGCTGCCTACCAGGGCTCTCAGTCTGCCTACCAGGGCTCTCAGTCTGCCTACCAGGGCTCTCAGGCTGCCTACCAGGGCTCTCAGTCTGCCTACCAGGGCTCTCAGGCTGCCTACCAGGGCTCTCAGTCTGCCTACCAGGGCTCTCAGTCTGCCTACCAGGGCTCTCAGTCTGCCTACCAGGGCTCTCAGTCTGCCTACCAGGGCTCTCAGGCTGCCTACCAGGGCTCTCAGTCTGCCTACCAGGGCTCTCAGGCTGCCTACCAGGGCTCTCAGTCTGCCTACCAGGGCTCTCAGTCTGCCTACCAGGGCTCTCAGTCTGCCTACCAGGGCTCTCAACCAATGCTCTCTGTCCGCCGTCCCTCCTCCCTCCCCCCACCCCCCACACCCCCCATCTGCAGTCCGCTTTTCCATAAAGAGCCTGTCAATGCCAGAGCTCTCAGTGTGCCTGCCCGAGACAGCATCTGTTGGTGCGCTCAAGGTGCGTCCCATCTCTTGGTGTTGCTGCCACATGTCCCCCATGTGCCTCCGTGCTCTCAGTCATTCTTGTTTGCCTCAGCACCCCCAATTCTCAAAATCAATCTCCGTGCGCTCAGTCCTTCTCACGTGCCTCCTCGGAATGCCTCCTCCAAATCAGAATGTGTGTCGCGCTTGCTTCACTTTCTAGAACCTCCAAGGAGTGAAGCACACCGGTGCGTTGCAGTACGTACACCAATATGTGTGTATCGTCTTATCGTCCTCATTTCGATCTTTCATGCCTTGCCCCATCCCAGCAAGCGGTGGTCGAGGCAGCCCTAGCATCCTTCGGAAACGGCCTCCGCCTGCGCATGGTGTTACAGGGTAACCGCTGCACGCACGACCAGGCGTCGCTAGCGGACGTGGGGCTCTCCCACGCGGCCCTCCACCAGCAGCAGCAGCAGAAGCAGGCAGCCGCCGCCTCCCTCAGCTTCATGCTCGACCCAGACCCAGTTCTCCTCCCCCCACCCCCGCCTACTCCTCCTCCTGCTGGCGCTACAGCCGCTGCTACAGCTGCTGCTACAGCCGCTGCGAAGCAGGCAGCGGCAGCGGCGGCGGCGGCGGCGGCTGCGGCTGCTGATCCGGATCCGCTGCTGCTGCTGTCGCCCCTGGCTCATCCTGGGGACCCCTCTCTTGCTGCTGCTGCTGCTGCCGCTGCCGCTGCTGCCGCGGCGGCTGATGGTCCACTTGTTTCTGCTGCTTCGTAAGTTTGCTGCTCACCTTGCTTGCTCCTTACTACATGCCGCACGCACCCCCACTTCTGTGCTGCTGCTGTCGCCACTGGCGCATCTCCCTCTTGCTGTCATCCTGGGGATCCCTCTCTTGCTGCTGCTGCTGCTGCTGCTGCTGCTGCTGCTGCTGCTGCTGCTGCTGCTGCTGCTGCTGCTGCTGCTGCTGCTGCTGCTGCTGCTGCTGCTGCTGCTGCTGCTGCTGCTGCTGCTGCTGCTGCTGCTGCTGCTGCTGCTGCTGCTGCTGCTGCTGCTGCTGCTGCTGCTGCGGCAGTGGCGGCGGCGGCTGATGGTCCACTTGTCTCTGCTGCATCGTGAGTTTGCTGCTTCCCCCTTGCTTGCTCTCCTTGCTTTCTCCTCACAACCACCCACCACGTCCCCTCCTCGCTGCTGCTGCTGCTGCTGCTGTTGCCCACCCACAATCCCCTGGCACATCCTGGGGGTTGTGAGTTTGATGCCTTTTAGCCCATCTCACGCCCACCCAATCTAGCATTGAAGCTGCCGCTGCCGCTGCCGTGTTTGATAGGTATGCTTGTATCTTGCTTCTTTGTTCCCCCTTGATTTCTTCCCCTCCGCTCCACTCCCCTCCCCTCCCACTTGTGTCTCTCCCCTGCCCTCCTCTTTCCCTTGCCTCTCCCTCGTATCCCTTGTGTCGCATCCCCTCTCCCCTCTTTCCCTCAGCCCATCCCACTCGCACCCCTCCCACAACACCCGATCAAGCATCGCAGCCGCTGCTGCTGCCGCCGCCGCTGCCGCCGCTGCAGCAGCAGCGGCAGCCGCAGCAGCAACACCAGGCAGCTCCCGCAGACACTCCAACCCTGTCACTCCCCTCCACCCATCCTACCTCTCCCCGTCACACCTTTACGCTGCCACCTCTGGCCCTCACACTCCCGCATCTGCCCCTTCTGCTGCTACCACCACCACGCCTACGACTAGACAAGCAGCAGCGCAAGCTTTGGCAGCGATTCGAGCGCAGACAGAGCATGAGCCTGGGGACGGGGCGGGGGGAGGGAGAAGCAGGAGGAGGCGGAGGAATGACGATGAGGATTACCAGGAAGGGGAGGAAGGAGAGGAGGAAGAGGAGGAGGAGGAAGAGGAGGAGGATGAGGAGTATGAAGACGAAGACGGGTATCATTCGCCGTTTGGGCGGTATTCTAGTAGCGGGTATGCTTCTAAAGGAGCGCACTCCGGTGCTCTGATTCTCCACCCATCCGTCTCAGGGAGAGGCAGAGGGAGAGGCCGGGGCGGAGGAGGAGGAGGAGGAGGAGGGGCGTTGGCATACCCGGGAAGAGCAGGAGGAGGGGGAGAGAGTGGGGCACTGGTGTTGCATCCGCATCAGCAGCACTTGCAGAGGGGGGGTGTGGGGGTGGGGGGAGGGGCGATGATGGTGCATCCGAGGGCGAGGGGGGCGGCGGGGCTACAGCTGATAGAGCAGAGGAGGAGAATCAGGCGGCCGTTCACTGTGGGGGAGGTGGCATCGCTGGTGGACGCTGTTGAAGTACTGGGCACTGGCAGGTGAGTGGGTGGGTGGGTGGGGAGGGGTGGGGGGGTGGGGGGGTGGGGGGATGGGGGGAGATGGGAAGAGTACAATGGGGGGGATCAAACTGGGCCTGCAGCTGATAGAGCAGAGGAGGAGGATCAGGCGGCCGTTCACAGTTGGGGAGGTGGCCTCACTGGTGGATGCTGTAGAAGTGCTGGGCACTGGCAGGTGTGTGGGGAGGGGAGGGGGGGGGGGGGTGAAGGGGGGGGGATGGTTGGAGTGGGGTGGGGGTGCAGAACTTTTCCCCCAATATGGACCGAAAAAGCAAAACTCGTTCGTCTAATCTCACTTTGAACCCACTGCCTTGGCGGTGCACTGCAGGTGGAGGGATGTGAAGCTGAGGGCGTTTGCCACGTCAAAACACCGCACCTACGTGGATCTCAAGGTTAGTCCTGCTCTCAGTAAGAACGATAATCTCTTTAACATGATAATCTCCTAATTATATAAGAGATTTTTATGCATTCCCTTCACCCATGTGCGTATTTCTTTTTCTATCTGTCTTGTTTCCATCCCTTGCACTCATCAGGACAAGTGGAAAACTCTGGTGCATACGGCTCAGATTGCGCCACATCAGCGCAGAGGGGAGCCGGTGCCACAGGAGCTGTTGGATCGAGTGGTGCAGGCGCATAGCTACTGGCAAGAGCAGCTGAGAATCCAACGCGAGGAACGAGACTCCTAACCACCGTTGGTACGGTGCTAGTACCGTATCATAGTAATTTAGTTTGTTCCTTCCAAATGAGTGTTTTGATACAATTAACGTGAATAATAAAAGACAAAACAATTTTATTGCTTCGCATATGGTTTTTAAACAAAAAAAAAAAAACTTATTTTCATAGCAGCTAGCTGTAAAGGCCTTGTTTTTCTGGTTGTGCGACTAATTGATAAAATCTTTGCTGAATTTGCATTCTCTTTGTGACTTTGCTATAAGCTTCTAAATCTCAACTAGGCTTTGCCCACCGGACCCAACTAGGGTCTGCGCAAGATAATATCGGGTACGCCACACCCTAAGTCAGCCTAAGTCAATAAAAGCGTGCTCCGCCGACAATTACCTTACAGTACAGTACTTCCCAAGCCGCGCCGCATTCTGCGGGAGCAGTAAAACTTCCGGAATGCCTGGCAGATCACCTTTATTTTGCTCAGAGCGTCTGGAGTCCTCCTTGCTTTTGATCGTCAGAAGTACCGCCGCTCTCAGATACTAGCAATGCGTGCGCTGACGACTCTTCTAGGTCAAACACGCATGACCTCCGACTGGAGACTCCTCGCCGGGGAGGTTAGTAACGCGTATTCCGATTGATACTCCCCGTCTCCGAGTCCGCGACGCGACTCTGCTGATGACGCGAAAGCATAGATTCGCCACGTCAGCCCTCCCTCCATCCGTCATGTCGACCCTCCCTAGTACGCGCCCTTCACCCATCCTAACGGCCCTATCGTTCCTCCTACTGCTCGTCGCGGCGTCAGCACAACCAGACGTGTACTACCGGGTAGCGGATTACCCCCACTGCCCTATTACCGGTGAGCGCCCCGAGGACATCAATGCGGCTTATATCGAGGCGGCTCGTATCGGAGCGGCTAGTAACGGGGCGGCCGTGTGGCAGCGCCGGTGCGCGATGGAGGACAACATGACGTGCTGCGGGCTGTGCGGCGGCGAGGAGCTCGCGCTGCGATACGTCCGATCCAACGTCTCTCTCGCGATTGAAACCCTCGGTGCCAACGCTACCGCCGCTGCTGCGAAACTCGTCGACCTCTCCAACCCACCCTCTGTGAGTCCGCGGGTGAGCTGGAGCGAGGAGCTGCGGGCTGTGCGGGGGAGAGGAGCTCGCGCTGAGATACTTCCAATCCAACGTCTCTCTAGCGATCGGCGCCCTCTTTGAGTGTGGCTCTGCGGGCAGGTTAAGGTTGTGCGGGGGGGGGGGGGGGGGGGGGAGCTCGCGCTGAGATACATCCGGCAACGTCTCTCTTGTGATAGAAGCCCTGGGCGCCAACGCTGCTGCTGCTGCTCGTAAACTCATCGACCTCTCCCACCCTCCCTCTGTGAGGTGAGGACGCGTCCCCTACCCGCGATCGATCGTGCGTAGGATCGATCCCCGGCGTCTACAGTGCAACTGTAGCTTAGCAGTCAACGGGATTACCCTATTTCGGCAACGTTAGCGAATGTACAGGAACATGTGCCAGACGAGCCTGTCACCTCCGTTTTTGGCGATCATCTGCCTCTGATTCTCTGCCTCTCTGCCTCTCTGCCTCTGATTCTCTGCCTCTCTGCCTCTCTGCCTCTGATTCTCTGCCTCTCTGCCTCTCAAACTCTGACTCTCATCCTCTGCCTCTCTCCTCCCGCCCACCAGGCATGTGAGGCCTTGCAGGGCTATCCTCTCTGCACACATCTGCTCCTCGATCTCTCCCTCTCTTCTCCTCCCCTCCTCTCTCCTCCTCTCTCTCCTCCCGCCCACCAGGCATGTGATGCCTTGCAGGGCTATCCGCTCTGCGCACATCTGCTCGAAATGGTCATGTGCACTGCCGTCTGTGACGCAGGTACCACCATCTATCCTCCTCTCTTTCCTCTCCTTCGTCTCCCTCCTGTCCCTCCGTTCCCTCCTCTTTCTCCTATTTCTCCTCTTATCCACTCTTGCCCTCATCTGCTCGAAATGGTACCGTCTGGGATGCACGTACCTCCACCTTTCCTCCCACTCCCTCCCTCCTTTCACCTGCCTTTGTCACTCATAGTGTTCTCTTCTCTGCGTCTGTCCCTTCTGGTTTTGTCCTTTCTCGTTTTGTCGCTTCTGCCTTAGTCACACGCAGACACAGAATACTTGGTGGAAGCAGGTCCCACCACCAGTGATGAGCTTGCAAAACAGGCTTAAAGAATCCTTTCTTAAGTCGGCTAAAAAATGAGCTTGCAGCGAGGCTCACAGCATCTTGACACTCAGAGAGACAGGCGTATCGGAGCAAGGATGCAAATCGGAGCCTGCCCCTCTCAAGTTCGGTCCATTCATCCGTCCACTCAGAGAGACAGGCGTATCGGAGCAGCGATGCCTAGTTTTGTTCCTTCTGGTGTTGTCCGTTCTGCTTTCGTCCCCTCCTGCTTTGGTCACACGCAGACACGGAATTCGTGGTGGAAGCCGGTCCCACAATCACCGTCTGCGAGGGGCTTGCTGAGAGGCTCAAGGCGGAATGTGCGGGAACGCTATGTGAGTGGGTGCCTTGGTTGGTTCAGTGGGGATCAACGTGTTAGCAGTTTACAAGGGGGATGACGGTCCCACAATCACCATCTGTGAGGGGCTTGCAGAGCGGCTCAAGGCGGAATGTGCGGGAACGCTATGTGAGTGGGTGCCTTGGTTGGTTCAGTGGGGATCAACGTGTTAGCAGTTTACAAGGGGGATGACGGTCCCACAATCACCATCTGTGAGGGGCTTGCAGAGCGGCTCAAGGCGGAATGTGCGGGAACGCTATGTGAGTGGGTGCCTTGGTTGGTTCAGTGGGGATCAACGTGTTAGCAGTTTACAAGGGGGATGACGGTCCCACAATCACCATCTGTGACGGGCTTGCAGAGCGGCTCAAGGCGGAATGTGCGGGAACGCTATGTGAGTGGGTGCCTTGGTTGGTTCAGTGGGGATCAACGTGTTAGCAGTTTACAAGGGGGATGACGGTCCCACAATCACCATCTGTGACGGGCTTGCAGAGCGGCTCAAGGCGGAATGTGCGGGAACGCTATGTGAGTGGGTGCCTTGGTTGGTTCAGTGGGGATCAACGTGTTAGCAGTTTACAAGGGGGATGACGGTCCCACAATCACCATCTGTGAGGGGCTTGCAGAGCGGCTCAAGGCGGAATGTGCGGGAACGCTATGTGAGTGGGTGCCTTGGTTGGTTCAGTGGGGATCAACGTGTTAGCAGTTTACAAGGGGGATGACGGTCCCACAATCACCATCTGTGACGGGCTTGCAGAGCGGCTCAAGGCGGAATGTGCGGGAACGCTATGTAAGTGGGTGCCTTGGTTGGTTCAGTGGGGATCAACGTGTTAGCAGTTTACAAGGGGGATGACGGTCCCACAATCACCATCTGTGAGGGGCTTGCAGAGCGGCTCAAGGCGGAATGTGCGGGAACGCTATGTGAGTGGGTGCCTTGGTTGGTTCAGTGGGGATCAACGTGTTAGCAGTTTACAAGGGGGATGACGGTCCCACAATCACCATCTGTGAGGGGCTTGCAGAGCGGCTCAAGGCGGAATGCGCGGGAATGCTATGTGAGTGGCGGCCTTGTGATTGCGTGCTTGTGAGTGGGTTCTTGTGAGTGGGTGCTTATTCCCTTTCCTTTCCTTTCCTTTCCTTTCCTTTTTCCTCTCCCTTTCCTTCTCCGTTCACCCTCCATCATCGATCGCTCTCACACCTCTCCTCCCTCTCCTCCCTCTCCCGCCTCTCCTCCCTCTGCGCCTCTCCCCTGCATGCACCCATCAGTTGGCCGCATCACAATCACCATGGATGCATATTCCTTCACCACCCAGCTTCTCACAGCGATAGGCAGAAACCTCTACGGCATCCCTTCCTTCTCGGCTGTTATCTCTTTTTCAGGGGGGGTGAGTCACAGCCTTCCACTAGCAATATTCCTGCTACAGCCTTCCTGTAGCAGGCGTTTGTTTTTTTACAATTCTTGAGAGCCGCCTGCTTCCTTCACGACCATCCTCTATTCCTTCCTCCTCTCCCCTCCCTCTCTCCCCCCCCTCCTCTCCCCTCCCTCCTCTCCCATCCCTCCCTCCACTGCCTTTGTGGCCCACTTACCACCGATGCCTTCCCCCCCACAACCATCTGCTGCCATCCTTTCAACCTGACCCCTCCCACTTCCCATGCCGTTCCCCCACCACCATCTACTTTGATCCTTGTCAGTTAATGTTTTTTCTCCCCTCCATTCCCTCCCCTCCCCTGCAATCCGCAGTGCCTCTCCGGCCCACCTACCGACGATGCCTTCCCCCCCACCACCACCTGCTGCGATCCCTTCACCCTGCACCCCTCCCACTGCCCCCCAAGCTCTCTTCCCAACCCCCAAACCGAGCCACACCCATCTTCACCACTCTCACCCCAACCACCAACCGACCTCAACCGCTCTAACTCTAACACTTCAAGTCTCAACACTTACATCGAGTATCTGAATCGTGATATCAATGTGTCTCAGTGCATGGCTGCTGAGCCTTATGCCTACCCTCCTTTGCCTAATCCATCTACCCCCGAGCCTCCTGTTCTGCCCCTTTCCTTTGACTCTCCCCAGCCACTTATTTTCTTCAAGCCTTTCTCATGTGCGACACATACCGTGCTTTGTTTAGTCACTGCAGGGTTCTTACTTTGGATTCTCATCCGCTGCACCATTTATTTACGCATAGGATTGCATAGAGCATCAATAATGAACAGTATAAAAGTTGGTGATGCTCCGGTGGGTTTGTCTGGCAGGGAGTTTTGTGGATATATGTATTACCGTATCCCCTCTGATAGAAGCGCCTAGGAGCTGCTTGTAATATTCTGGCCATCTTTCGGGGTGCAGCTGATACCGTAAAGGAATTGTTTGTTACAGCGCTGTGGCTCTGAGAAACAATTATAATCAAGCCCAGTACCATCTCCTACGGTGGGCCTATTGTGGTTTTCCATGCTTGCATGATTCACATTCTAAGCTTGCTTTTTCAACATATAGCAACACCATCCAGCACTTCCGCACTGCTATCACGTATGAAACATTGCTGATGGGTAATAGGTGATTGGTAATCTCCTGTTCACAATCTATGCGGGCATGCGCAATCAATCATCCCCACTTGCGTGGAGGAGCTATAACACGCGATGTAACGCCTCCTGGTAGTTGCTTATTAAACAATACAGTACATCAGGAAGAGACAAGGTGCCAAGATGCGGTGGTGGTCAGGGCTCTTGTCTATTGGTTGCCAATAGCCAGAGCTGTGCAGAGAAGGCCGAACACCAGGAAGGGCTGTGCGCTAGCCTGCATGTTACCAGTTGGTGTGGGGGGAGGGGAATCGAGGATAAACGGAGAGGAGACGAGCTGTGACGAGAAGGCCAAACACCATGAAGTGCCATGCGTGCACTACTTCAAATAATGATGGCACTACGACAAGAAGGCCAGACAACATGAAGTGCCATGCGTGCTCTACTTCAAATAATGTACACGTTTGTGGGGGGAGAAATGGAGAGGGGAGATTGATGGCACGGTAGAAAGGGCTTCTTTTCAAAGCCAACAGCTAGCCCTATGCAGAGAAAATGAATGTGAGCATTACCCCCCAAAGCGTTTGTTGGTAGGGGAAGCAAGAAAAAGGATAAACGCCAAGAAGGGCTGTGCGCTACCCTATTCCGCATTACTTCGTACTACACGTTACCTGGTACTTGACGTCATTCTTCATGGGATCAGGCAGGAAGAGTGTGAACTGCAGATGCACCATTGCAAGAACAAACCACCACAACAATGCAACAACCAACCACCACGACAATACACCACGACAACAATACACCACGACAACAATGCAACACGACAACAATGCAACACGACAAGCAGTGTGGGAGAGAGTAGACGTAGAGGAGTTAGGCCGTGATGTTGAATCGACTGAAGGTGAGAGTGAGATGCAGATGCAACATCGACTATCATCTTAGAAGAGAAAGACAAAGTGACAAGAGATCTGGGATAGACATGCCAGGAAGAAGATTTGGGGAGCAACGAGGCCGAGCAACACACCCCCATAAACGGCCTTGAGAGTTTTCAAAAGATACCCTAAGCGCCCTCAACAGTTGTCGTACAAGAGTGAGACTGAGTGTGACAGGAGAACTGACCTGGAAGAAGATTTGGGGAGCAATGAGGCCGAGAAGCACAAGCCCGTAGACGGTCTTGCCAGTGGCGAGGAGATAACCTGTGAGGAAGATGCAACAGTGAGGGAGAGGTGAGACACGGAACAGGTGAAGGGACCAGTCAAAGGAGGAGGAGCAATGAGGCCGAGAAGCACAAGCCCGTAGACGGTCTTGCCAGTGGCGAGGAGATAACCTGCACAGGGATTGGGGGGGGAGGGGGAGGGGAAGAAGCACAAAGAAATGACAGAGGGAACAGGTGAAGGGGTGAAGGAGTGAACTCAGGAGAGGGGAGCAATGAGGCAGAGCAGCACAAGCCCGTAGACAGTTTTGCCAGTGGCGAGGAGATAACCTGTTGAAGCGGGTGATGTGGGGGAAGGAGGAGATGGGAGCGGCAGAAGGAGAAGGGAACACGTGGAGGTGAGCCTAGCAGTGGGGAGCAATGAGAGCGAGGAGAGGAGCACGGGTTCACTCATCTAACAAGTCGTGGCATTTCAGTGTGCTTCTCACACCTCACCTCCCACAAGAGTTTGCTGAGGAATGTCAATGCTGGCCACAAATCAATGCCTACGACTGGAGATCAGCCATGCTTTTATCTTAATTTTATGTCACAAAGAGTTCATTATTTGCAGTTTATATATCCGCCCCTCACCTGCAACAGATAGCTGAGTGACGTCAATGCTGGCCACGCAAATCCACTTGGCAGTTTCCACACCAAAGGCCACTGGGAGGGACTGCAATGGAACAAGGGGGGAAGGGAGGGGGACGGGGGGAAAAGAATTGAGGGGGAAGCGGGAAGGGGAAAGGGTTGATAAAGCTGTATCCACATCGAACGCCACCGGGAGAGACTGGAGCATGGTCCAGTAGAGGCGAGCAATGAAGGAAATAAAACAAAGGTTGGAGGAAAGGGGGGGAAGGGGGGCAACAAGGTCCATTTGTTTCCCTCAAACCAACAAACTACCCATCTGTTCCCATCAAATCTCAATGCCTTCCACCCACCTACACTCACCACGCACCTGCTCCCCAGCACCCACCTGCTCCCCGGCACCCACCTGCTCCCCGGCACCCACCTGCTCCCCGGCACCCACCTGCTCCCCGGCACCCACCTGCTCCCCGGCACCCACCTGCTCCCCGGCACCCACCTGCTCCCCGGCACCCACCTGCTCCCCGGCACCCACCTGCTCCCCGGCACCCACCTGCTCCCCGGCACCCACCTGCTCCCCGGCACCCACCTGCCCCCCAGCACCCACCTGCTCCCCGGCACCCACCTGCCCCCTAGCACCCACTCACCCCCCAATAGGCACCTGCAGGCCCATCTTGCGGTCGCCTCCAATGCTCTTGAAGTCGTTCACAATAGCAATGCCCAGCTTCCTGCCACTGCGGATGCAAATACCAGTGCACCCTACCATGCACCTGCCCGTACCTGCCCCCAGCCTGCACCTGCCCCTACCTGCCCCCCACCACACACGAAACTGCCTGGCCCCACCTGCCCCCAGCACCCACCTGCAGCCCCATCTTGCGGTCGCCCTCAATGCTCTTGAAATCGTTCACAATAGCAATGCCCAGCTGTTGGGGCGAACGGTGGGGCGAGTGGGGAAGAGGAGGAAAAGAAGAGATGGAAGGGAGAAGGCGAATCGAAAGTTGTTCGCTTTAATGAAGCCCAGCTGCCAGGGTAAACTAAGGGGCGATTGGGAAGACGAGCAAATAGCGTCCAGATTAGCAATGCCCAGCTGCCAAGCAGTGGGCCGAGCAAAAACGCGTTAAATAAGACTCAACTCTTAACAGCTTACCCCGGCGATGATGTAGAGGGGAGTGAGCACCACTATCTCATCGAATGTGAGTGCAATGCAATTCATTTGCTAACGGTTCGGAACAAGCTTTAAATTCTGACAGCTTACCCCGGTAAAGAAGAAGAGAGAGTGTACATTATCGTTGTCCTACCTATAATGCTTTAAAGAATACTCAATTCTCTAACAGCTTACCCCGGCCATGCTGTAGAGGAGAGTGAGCACCACGACGTCAAAGGTCAGCGTGCCAAAGAGAGCTTGTCCCGCCCACCTGCCAGGTTTCCACACACAGGAGGGCACACAGGAGGGATAAAGACAGGGGGCAGAGAGGAAGCGTGACAGTGAGGAAGTGTGACAATTAGGCACCGTGACTGAGAAGCAGTGTGGCACAGAGGCAGTGCGAATCCCACCAACATACATGCTGTTTACATGCTGTTTACACGTTGTTTTGTGAAGCGAGACCTAGCTGGAGCCCAGGGCGTAATTAAAGACCCAGCCGCTCTGCTTGAGGTGCCAGCAGGCGTATTTTGAGGATTCCCGAAGATCATCACAACACAGCAAGGGAACTCACCAGGGAAGCGAGATGTAGCTGGATCCCAAGGCATAGTTGCCAATCCAGCCGCTCTGCTTGAGCTGCAGAGGTTGCGAGGGGAGGGAGCGTGGACAGTGGCAAGCGGAAACGCCGAAGAGGTGAGATGCAATGCAATGCTTTTGAGATCGCATAGATTATCCCGTTCTTAATCACAAACCCTTTTCCGCCTTTCTGCCCCTGCGGGGTAACTTCAAATCATTGTAGCGAAGACCAAAGCCAGGAGAAAGACACAAGAGAAGAGGCCTAACTGCCCTGACAGGAGCGAGCGAGGGGAGGGACGAGAAGAGAAGGGAAGGGGTTTACCTTGAGAGGAGGCGCGGAGTAGATGTATGAAATGAGCGAGCCACCGGCTGAGAGAGCAAGCAGGATGGGGAAGTCGTGACCCGCCTGATAGATGTGCATGTGCACGCAAGAATGGGAGGGGAGTGGCGAAGATGGGCAAGGGGAAAAACGAGGCACGACAAACAGGGTCAAGAGTTATGAATGGGGAAGAGGGCGAGCAGGATGGGAAAGGTATGGGTGACGGATGGATCAGATGGGAGAATGGAACATATTTGGCAGTAAAGAATGCGGACGAGAGGCACGCGGAGGAGGAGGCATACACAACAGTGCATGTGTATTTCTAAGGCGCATCAAAAATAGACACGGAGGAGACATCCACCGCAGTGAATGTGTTCAGAATGTACACATGAGGAATGAGGGGCACGTACATATTCTGTGCACATGTATGGAATGTCCGAACAAAGAGAAAGTCTGTTAATTAGAGGTGATTTAATACCCTCCTTTCGAGCAAGGTCATGCATGCACTATCACCAGATCCGTTCCGTGAGAGTGCCTAGTCCAGACCCACTCAAAAAGAGACTCACTGAGACGATTTTAGAGTCGGCTAAAAAGTC